TTTCATTAATACACAACAAAATTGCCACTTTTCTTAAGTATTAAGAATAAAATTAAAATTTGTGAAAGTGCAAGAATGTGTCAATCAAACGCGTCCAGAAATTTGAAGTTACAATAACTTCGAGATGAAATAAGATTTCTATTATATTTTAGTATGAAATGCTATAGCAACATATAAGTCATGAAATTATACAGAAAATTTGAGAAAATGTTAACTTCAAATCTGTGTCTAAGCACCTTTAAGTAAAGTTGATATGTAATCAACCTAGACAGAGCAGTTTTAAACACAAAGCATTGAAAGGCTTGGATAGAATATTTAAACAATATATTATACAGCAAAACTCGGTTATAGCAAAGTCTTGGGGACCAGCAAAATTACTTCGCTATATCCGTTATTTGTTATAATCGTATAACAAATTCGTTAAAGTATATATAGCGAATTTGCAATATAGATGTTTTTCCTTCAAGTATGACTACCAAATGTATTTTGGGAAGTATCAAATACAAAAATTATCTTGGAGTTCAAAAATTTTCAGATGAAGTGAATCTCAAATTTAAAATACTTACAAAAATAGTGTCAGTTCAATATTTTAAAAATTAAGATCTTTGAAAGTTTGCTATAATTAAAAGATGTAAATTTTGGGGTTTTATTTAACCTTTTGGGGATACAAAATCAGTTCACTATATCCAAAAATTTGGATGAGTTAATTATATCCGTAAAAATGTACAAGGAATTGTTAAGGATTTTGCAGGGGTTTCCAAAAATTGCACTATACGCATAAATTTGCTCTATTTATGTTTGTACTAAACTAGTTTTACTGTAGTGTACTTTAAAGAAGATTCCAACCAAGAACTAATTATTTAGCTTTCCCATTGAGGCATGCATTAAGAACACTTGCACAGAAATTGTTGGAACCCATTTCTGCATAATCCGTTGAGTTGTAGAACTTTTTAAGGTATTTTTTTAGCTCACCTGAGCCAAAGGCTCAAATGAGCTGTTCTGATCGAAATTTGTCCGTTGTCTATCATTGTCATCGGCATTGTCGTTGTTGTAAACTTTTCACAATTTCATCTTCTTCTCCAGAACTATTGGGCCAATTTCAACCAAACTTGGCACAAAGTATCTTTGGGTGAAGGGGATTCAAGTTTGTTCAAATGAAGGGCCACACCCTCCTCCAAGGAGAGATAATTACGAAATAGGGAAAAATTAATGGCATCATTGAAAAATCTTCTTCTCAAGAACCAATGGCCAAGGAAAGATGAAACTTATGGGAAATCATTGTCAGGTAGTGTAGATTCAAGTCTATTCAAATCATGACCCCGGAGGGTAGGGTGAGGCCACAATGGACGATCAAAGTTTTACATAGGAGTATATAGGAAAAATCTTTAAAAAATCTTCTTCTGAAGAACAGCAAAGCCATGATTGGTTATATTAATATGGAAGCATTCTCATGTGGTGTAGATTCAAATTTGTTCAAATCATGACCCCGGGGGGTAGGGTGAGGCCACAATGGACGATCGAAGTTTTACATAGGAGTATATAGGAAAAATCTTTAAAAAATCTCAAAAACAGCAAAGCCATGATTGTTCATATTTACATGGAAGCATTCTCAGGTGGTGTAGATTCAAGTTTGTTCAAATTATGACCCCCGGGGATTAAGGGTGGGGCCCCAATGGACGATCAAAGTTTGACATAGGAATATATATATAAAGGAAAAATCTTCTTCTCAAGAACAGCAAAGCCATGATTGTTCATATTTACGTGGAAGCATTCTCAGGTGGTGTAGATTCAAGTTTGTTCAAATTATGACCCCCAGGGATAAGGGTGGGGCCCCAATGGACAATCAAAGTTTGACATAGGAGTATATAGGAAAAATCTTTAAAAAATCTTCTTCTCAGGAACAGCAAAGCTACAATTGGTCATATTTATATGGAAGCATCTGCAGGTGGTCTAGATTCAAGTTTGTTCAAACCATGACCCCTGTGGGGTATGGTGGGCCCACAATGGATGATCAGTTTTACATAGGAATATATAGGAAAAATCTTAAATCTTCTCAAGATCAGCAAAGCCATGGTTGGTCATATTTATATGGAAGCATCTTCAAATAGTGTAGATTCAATTTTGTTCAAATCATGACCCACAGGGATAGGGTGGGACCACAATGAAAGTTCAAACTTGTTGGAAAAAAGTCACAGTCAAAAAAATATGTAAGAATCCTTAGTTAGTGTAGATTCTATTTTGTTCAAATCATCCCCCCCTCCCTATTACGGGTAGGTCAGGACCACTTATGCAATTAAGCTTTTCAATACTAAACTGATTTTTGCTTTTTTCCTAGCCACAGTGCTCAGGTGAGCAATGTGGCCCCTGGGCCTCTTGTTTGTTTGTTGTTTAATGTCCCTCTCGAGAATTTTTCACTCATATGGAGACGCCACCACTTGCCGGTGGAGAGCTGCAAATTTTGACCTAGACTCGGCACTCAGGGCCATTAAGCAGTGAGGGATCTTTTTCGTGCCAGCACCTACTGTGACACGGGACCTCGGTTTATACAGTCTCACCCGATTGATTGATTGATTGTATGTTGTTTAACGTCCCTCTCGAGAATTTTTCACTCATATGGAGACGCCACCATTTGCCGGTGGAGAGCTGCAAATTTTGTCCTATACTCGGTACTTACGGCCATTGAGCAGTGAGGGATCTTTTTCGTGCCAGCACCTACTGCGACACGGGACCTCGGTTTATACGGTCTCATCCGAAGGACCGGTCTCCACGTCCCACAGTGGGATTCTAACCCGCGACGTAAGGATCAACTCCTTACTTCGCGACTCTAGAGCAGACACTCTAACCACTGCGCCACGTGGGCGACCAGTCTCACCCGAAGGACTGGTCTCCACATCCCACAGTGGGATTCAAACCCACAACGTAAGGATCAACTCCTTACTCTGAGACTCTAGAGCGAACACTCTAACCACTGCATCACATGGGTGACATATCTGAGCAGTTGAAATGTTAGGCATGTCTGTGGCAGGGTTATTTTCCAAACATTTCCATGTCTTACACACAGCAAAAGGAAAATACAGAAGTTATCAGTTGTAATCTGGACATTTTTTAAAAAAATTTTCTACAACAGAGATTCGTTATTGAAAATGGTTTTGACATACTACCTTCAATGTCTTATTTATTCAAATCCTGACTACAAAATAAAACAATTATGGACTCTTTCGATGGTGAATATGGTTTGTTATTCACCAATCAATCAATATTGATATTTTTCTGGTGAATAACAAACCCTATTCACCACTGAAAGAGTCCATAGTTGTATAATATTCACCTGGAAGGTCACATGCAGGTGAATATAGCATAGTATTTTTTCTATAATATTGGATCACAGTCAGAAAGCTAGGAATTATTCAATGATATATTCACTGAGACCAAAGGATGAAGTGATATTGCACTTTGAGGGGTATGGCCAAATCATCATTTTGATTGAAAAAAAAAACCCAGCAATAATTGTTTTATTTTATAATTTAATGATTAAATGATACAAACTTGTTAATTAAGTAAACCACCATGAAATCTTTCTAGATTGTTTACATCTGTTGAAGGGCAAGCTAAATGCTAGCTCAGTTGACACAAAAACTGATAGAAATTGGATACTTTAACTTATATTTTTTTTAAAAGAGTGGGTCATCACTCATTTTTTTATGCCCCGGATCGAAAGATCCCGGGGGTATATTGTTTTTGTCCTGTCTGTCTGTTTGTCTGTCTGTTTGTCTGTCTGTCTGTTGTCAACTTTAACCTTGCCCATAACTTTTGATTGGTTGGAGCTATGACTTTCATATTTCACATGTGTATTCCTTGTGACAAGACATTTCTTTGGGTACCATCATATTTGACCTTTTGACCTTGACCTTGGAGTTTGACCCACTTTTGCAAAATTTTATGAGACTTTAACCTTGGCCATAACTTCTGAACAGTTGGTGCTTGGGGTTTCAAACTTCATTTGTGTATTCTTTGTGACAAGGCCTTTCATTTGGATACCAACCACTTTGACCTTTTGACCTTGACCTTGGAGTTTGACCTACTTTTGAAAAACTTTAACCTTGGCCATAACTTTTGAACAGTTGGTGCTTGGGGTTTCAAACTTCACCTGTGTATTCCTCGTGACAAGACCTTTCTCTGGATATCAACCTTTTTGACCCTTTGACCTTGACCTAGGAGTTTGACCTACTTTTGAAAAACTTTAACCTTGGCCATAACTTTTGAATGGTTAGAGCTAGTGCTTTCATACTTCACGTATGTAATCCTTGTGACAAGACCTTTCGTTTGGATACCAACCACTTTGACCTTTTGACCTTGACATTGGAGTTTGACCTACTTTTGAAAAACTTTAACATTGGCCATAACTTTTGAATGGTTGGTGCTAGGGCTTTCATACTTCACATATATAATCATGTGGCAAGACCTTCGTTTGGATACCAACTACTTTGACCCTTTGACCTTGACATAGGAGTTTGACCGACTTTGAAAAAACTTTAACCTTGGCCATAACTTTTGAATGGTTGGTGCTAGGGCTTTCATACTTTACATATGTAATCCTTGTGACAAGACCTTCCTTTGGATACCAACAACTTTGACCTTGACCTTGATGTTTTACTTACTTTTAAAAAACTTTAACCCTCGCAATAACTTTTGAACAGTTGCAGCTATGGCTTTCAAATTTAACATTTTTTTATCTTTTGGCCTGGATTTTAACTTGCATTTGAGAAACTTTAACCTTCGCCATAAGCTGCCATACGGGGGGATCAGTGTTTCACAAACACATCTTGTTTTGAGAAAAAATTATGAAAGGCATTTGAAAGATATTTCTTTTTACACTTGCAAAACTTTGGTATGAAGACCTTCTATAAAAAAAAAAAAATACTTACATGAATCAATGACTTATCATAGATTGTAATATAGACAATCATTTACTGAATAATCTAAACTTGAATGTTTTACAGCCAAGGAAATCTCAACAAATTCTACAACTATTGTTCAACCAAAGGAGACAACAGAACCTACTCTAGGTAAGAAATGACATGCACTTATTCATAAACTTCGTTTTTAGCTCTTCTGAGCCAAGGGCTAAAAGAGCTAATGCTATGGCCATTTGTGCGGTGTGCGTAAACTTTTTAGAATTGGGCCATAACTGAAGAACCCCTTGCCCAATTATTGTCAAATTTGTCACAGGGTATCCTTGGCCCAAGGGCTCCTGTTTATACTAAAACTAGGGTTGTGACCCTTAAACAAGGGGAGATAATTAGGAAAATAGAAACAAAAGTACTGGTTGCTAAAAAATCTTCTTCTCAAGAACCATTGGGCAAATTATCATCAAACTTACACAAAAGGATGAGGATATGTTGTAGATTAAAGTTTGCATGGGGATTTACCCTTGGGCAAAGGGCGTGGTCTCAAGGTCACTTCAAAGTTGACCAAATATTACATTTTATTAGAATGTTGATATTTTGCTTACTATAAGGACAAGGATCATCAAATCTTGTCAGTTGATGCATCTAAAGACCTCATATCATGTTGACTCAAAAGTAGGTCACAGTAACCTTCTTTTTAAATTTTCCGGCCATTCTTTTTCAAAATGATTTAGAGGCATATTTTGAACAATTTAAGGCCTATAATCATCAAACTTTGTCAGATGATGTATCTGGGTCCTCGGAGTATGTCGACTAAAAAGTAGGTCACCTTGACCTATTTTTTGAATTTTATGGCTAATCTTTTTCAAAACAATTAAGGTCATTAATTCGAATACTGAGAGGTTTAGAATCGTTAAATCTTGTAAGATGATGCATCTTGGGGTCATAAAACAGGTTTATTAAAAAGTAGGTCACAGTGACCTACTTTTTGAACTTTGCAGGCATTCAATTTCAAAGCATTTTAGAGGCATAATTTGGACATTTTAAAGCCTATGATCATAAAACTTTGTAAGTTGATGCATCTTGGGTCCTTTAAAAATGTCAACTGAAAAGTAGGTCACCATAACCTACTTTTCAATTTATATGACTATAATTAAATATTTCAGGTACTAATTGGCTTAAAATCATCAAACTTTGTCAGTTGATGCGTCTTGGGTCTTCGGAGTAGGTTGACTGAAAAGTAGGTCACCATGACCTAGTTTGGAAATTTATGGCTTTAATTAAATATTTAGGGTACTAATTGGCTTAGAATCATCAAACTTTGTCATTTGATGCATCTTGGGTCTTCGGAGTAAGTGGACTAAAAATAGGTCACCATGACCTCCTTTTGAAAATTTATGGCTTTAATTAAATATTTTCAGGTACTAATTGGCTTAATATCATCAAACTTTGTCAGTTGACGCATCTTGAGTCCTTGGAGTACGACAACAGAAAAATAGGTCACCCTGACCTCCTTTTGAAATTTTATGGCTGTATTTAATATTTTCGGGTACTTTTTGGCTTAGAATCATCAAAATTTGTCAGTTGATGCATCTTGGGTCCTCGTAGTAGGTCAACTGAAAAAGTAGATCACCGTGACCTACTTTTGAAAATCTATGGCTTTAATTAAATATTTCAGTAATTAATAAGCTTAGAATCATCAAACTTTGTCAGTTGATGCATCTTGGGTCCGCAGAGTTAGTCGACTGAAAAGGAGGTCACTGTGACCTATTTTTGAAAATTTAAGGCTTTATTTAAATATATCAGGTACAATTGGCTTAGAATCATCTAACTTTGTCAGTTGATGCATATTGGGTCCTCAAAGTATGTCATCTGAAAAGTAGGTTACTGTGACCTACTTTTGAAATTTTATGGTTATAATTTTAAAAATATTTGAAGTATTAATTGGCTTAAATTCATCAAACTTAGTTGATGCATCTTGGGTCCTCAGAGAATGACAAGTGAAGTAGGTCACCATGTACTAACTGGCTTAGAATCATCTTGGGTTCTCAGAGTGTTTCATCTAAAACGTAGGTCATGATGACCTACCTTTGGAATTTCAAGGGTTTATCTAAATATACAGGATACTTATGGGCTTCAAATAGAAGTGATAGGTTGTACAGTTTATCAGAAGAGTGATTCAAGGCCCATGGGCCTCTTGTTGAAAGTAAAGTCGTTTTTGAAAGTAAAGTAATTTTTTTATATATATCTGTTCAGAGTTGAACGAGTTAAGAATGAATTCAGACAGGTTAAGTTTGTAACTTATCTGATGGACAAGTAGATATTTTAGTTAATGTTTAGCCTTGGGCTTCCTTGACCAGTGTTCAATGTAGAAAAAATAAATTCTCATATTCACCTGGAGCTGTTGCAGTAGCGAAGTCGGAAGAGTGCTCACTTTGTGATCGAAAGGTTGTGCGTTCAAACCCCAGCCATGACTGACACAAGTCGATAAAAAATTTTTAGCAGCTGTTTCATTGCCAAGCCCTTGGCATGTTGCGGGTCTTTCAAATGAGACTCAAAAAATGAGGCCCTGTGTCATTGCAGACATGCCAAGATAAAGATCCTTAAATGTTCAATAGCCCTGAGTGCTGAGTAAAGGTCTAAATTAAGCCCTTCACCGGTATATGCTGACGTCTCTATATGAGTGAAAAATTCTCAAATGGGAGGTAAACAACATACAATCAATCATTATGTTCACTTGGAAGGTCAAGTTCAGGTGAATATAACATAATATTATACATGTACTTTCATTTAAATAAGTTGAATCTGATTCGTCAAGAAACATTTGTTAAAAAACACTATTACCCACTGAATAATGAAGCCATGCCCTTCAGCATAGCAACATTGCTTGACAATGGGTGATATTCCAAAAGATATTGACTGCGCAGAATTTATGCACGCAAGGTTCACTGTAATATGTACTTGTATAAAACATTCAGTATATAATAAATATTGCATGTAGTTGAGTGTAACATTGAAAGTTTTCACCCCTCGAAAACCATTGTCAACCTCGGCTGCGCCTTGGTTGACAGTGGTTTTCTTGGGGTGAAAAATGTAAATGTTACACTGAACTACATGCAATATTTATATAATAATTTTTTCTACAATGCTGAATCTCAGCAAATCAGAAAGCTAGGAATTATTAAATTATATAACAAGGGCACTGCAAAGTGGAGCATCCCCATCCCCTCACAAAAGAGTATATCGATCCTGATATGAATTATAACTTGCGTAGTTTCTGTTACGCACACTCTCCCTCACTTACCCCCCCCCCCCCCCCCCCCCCCCCCCCCCCCCCCCCCGTCAGTTTGATTTATTTATCAGTGTAAATTTATTTGAGGTGATCCTTATTAATGATTTCTGAGTTATAACTGAATATGTGTGCCATAGTAATCAATATTATTATTGATTACATGCAACTTTATATCAGCCATTCTGCAGTGAACAAAAACAAAAGTAGTTTGTCACTGAAGCACAATCATCTCTGTCTTCAATGTGCTTGTTTCCTAATTTTGTTTGTCAGATGCTCTGCTAATGTTGATTTTCAAAAGTTTGGTTACAGCCAAAAAAACCCCCCAGTTTTCAATGACCAGTTTATTTATTAATTTTTTTGTGCTTTAATTTAAACAATATGGCATAAAAACATATGAGTGACATGGAACTGAGACAACCCATGACTGACAATTTTACTCTTCTTAGGTAATTCAAGCTATGTAGCTGAATATATAGTGATTGTATAAGGGCTGTTGAGAAATAAATGTTTACATGCTTGAAAAGTACCGAGAATAATCATGGAAATGTAAACATGTAATTGGCGACTTCACTGTACGTTGGCAATTCAAGCTAAGTAGCTAAATCTAGTGAATGATGTTGACAAAAATTTCCAACCAGATTGCACACAACTCAATATTTTCACTTGGAAAAAGCAAAATACTGTATGTTATGTTTTATTATTCCCTTGTTCAATTTTATTTATTTGATTGAAATACAAGATCACACAATAGATGAATGTATAAAGAAGAAAAACATGAAAAACCTCAGTAAAGCTTAAGGCCTTTCATTCTATCTTCAGAAGCTTTACAAAATAAACAACTGTACAGTAGTAACATAGTAACATTACACAATGATAACGGGAGTATATGACATCATAATTGTGAAGTCAAATATATGAGGGGTTATCAAAGAGTTTGTGGACTAGTGCCATAAAATTAAAACTGCTTTAGGTACATCAATTCTAAAACATTTAGTTAGTATCATCTTTTAGGAAATTTATCCCTTAAGTAAGTGGTCAGTCTTGGATTGATGTTGCAACCTCTATGTATAGAGTGGGTTTCCAAAGCACTATCCTTGCTTCGGATAAGAAAGTTGAGAAGCATTTCAAGTGATAAATACATTCTTTTCACAATATTCCATGAAGGTAAAATAGTCACTTGTCCAGTTTGTCTAGAGATTGCCTTGTCTGATTACAAAATGAACTGGTAACAGACAATCAGACAAATGTTAATGTTGAGCCATGTAGCCTAGTGGTAGGGAGTTCACTTCATGATTTGGAGGCCTGGGTTTGATTCTTCTTTGCCACATCAAACCTAAGATGTAAACATTGGCAGTGACTGTTCCTTCAGTAAGTGCTTAGAAGTGCACTTGAAATGGAGTCTTTTGGATTAGCCCCTAAAATCTGAGTTCCTGTGGCAAGGAAGGTAATGGTATAATAAAGAACCCTCACTGCTCATTGACCCTGAGTGCCAAGTAAAGGTCTTGATTAAAGAAAAATCTTTACAAATCTTCTCAAGAACAGTCAAGCCATGATTGTTAAATAATATTAATATGAAAGCATCCTCAGGTAGTGTAGATTCAAATCATGAACCCCCGAGGGGCCACAAAGGGCAATCAAAGTTTTACATAGGTATACATAGGAAAAATCTCAAGAACAGCAAAGCCATTATTAATTATATTTGTATGGAAGCATTCTCCAGGTAGTGTAGATTCAAGGTTGTTCAAATCATGATCTCCAGGGATAGAGCGAGACCACAACATGTTTTACAGAAGGTTTTACATTGTATAGGACATATCTTAAAAAATCTTCTCAAGAATAGTAAAGCCCAGATTAGTCATATGAATACAGAAACATCCTCAGGTAGTGTACTCAAATCATAACCCCAGAGGACAGGGTGGAGACACAATGGGGAAATCAAAGTTATACATCGGATTATATACCCCTGCGAGAGTATCAAGAATAATTCTTGAACTTTTAAGAAAAGTTCATGAATTATATTCTTGAATCTGCTCATGAAATATTCATGAAGATCCTATGAAGTTAAAATTGGACACTCATGATTTCATGAATTTTATTCATGAAAACCAAGTTCAAGAATATTCAAGAATAGTGGGTTGTTCATGAATTACTTACTACTCTTGAAAATTCATGAACTTCCTTATAGAATTCATGAAATCATAGTGTCCTGCGAATTTTAGCTTCATTAGATCTTTCATGAACATTTCAGGAACTTTTTAAGAATATTATTCTTGAATTACGTAATTTGACAGAATGCCAAATTGGCAAAACCACTGTGAGTACCCTCAAAATACATGTACATAAACATTCTATTTAAAAATTTAATAATATATAAATAATGACTACAATATTCTAAACTAAATGCTATGTATTAAATTAATTCATTGAATTTATAAATGTATACAGCTTTTACCCAACACACTCATAAACAATTACATGTACAGCCTGGATCAGTTTCAGAATCTTAAACAACGCTTGTGTTCTTCTTATGGCAGGTTCAAGTAAGTCAGATGCCTGTGGTGCATTTGTTATCCCTGTCAACTTTGCTTCTTGACATTCCAAAAATGAATATTTCTCTATGGGTGTCTGCTGGATCACTCACTAATTCATCCAAAATTGAAATCCATCCTTTAAATCATGACGTGGTTTTTTTTTCTAGCTCTTTTACAATAGGCCTTGTTTTTCATTTCACTCTCCCTGAAATTACGTATACATGTATATAAATGATATGCCAAATAGAAATAAATATTACAGGGAACAGGATACTTTTAAATAATATGGGAATTGTGGTGATGCTGCAACTGGAGGCCAGAAAAAAATATAGGAATTACCTATCTTTGATACAGAATACTTGGTCTTTAATTTATAAAGAGTCAGGAATCCTCAGAGACGAGTCAAAGTCAATTTGTTCTAATCAGTAAAGAAAATTTAAAAATGATTTTAGTTTCAATCTAGAATCAAGTTTCCTTTTTTTCTTCAATTTGAGCTAGTCCATGGGCACACGGGGGTGTGTATGCCCCCCCCCCCCTTCCATTTTTTATTATAAAATTTTGAAAAAAAAATATTCTGAGACAAAAACACACAAGTTTTTTAAAATAAATTTTTAAAATATATTTCATTAAAATTCATTTCATTTAACAATAACTGAAATTATATTTCTCTCCGAGTTATTTTTTTTTTAAATCACGTTTGTTTGGCATGCGTGCAACAAGTGTGCTAATCAACAAATTTGGAACCTAAATAATAAAAGAATTATGTTCTTACCACATGCTTTCTGTATTGCAGTCCTTCCTTTCGATGAATATAATAGTTAACACTCCATTAAAAAATGTTGACAGAATCTAGATCTATAGACAATCTTCTGACAATGCAATGCACATCTTCCTTCCTTTCAATCTGTTGAAAATTTGGCGCTCGCATTACTGCTTAACTAATCAGTAATGATGTTATAAATCAGCTACCAGAAGCGTCCAATCAAACGACGTTTTCTAAAAACGATTGAGGTTGCGATTCAAATCATACCCGTAATATTAATTGGCCGCTAATGTATTCTTGTTTGGGGTACCTTGATAAAAAATGGTAAATATATAGGCCTAGTTAATCGTGGACTGGTACTATTAAATAAAGTTTTACTTTTTTCATTATATTTATGCCAACGTTTCTACAAACTTTAAAAAAATCTTTGAATAAAAAGGGTGTGAAAAATTATTGATACGAATTGCCTCGCTACCCGCTAAAAAGATGGCGGCTTTTTTGTTTTTCGGTGGGCGATAGAAGTTTGTAAACTTGAGAATATACAATATAGACTGCATTGGAGGTTATATTTTAAATGCACACCATCCAAACAACATCCACAGAAAGACCAGCACTGTTCCGCCTGCATTCATCAGCTCACAACATGAGTAAGTTTTCATCTGTTTTATACATGTTTACAATCGCGGGATGGATATCGGGTGCACAACCTGCAAGGTTGTTGTTTCAAATGTTCTTAAATTAATTATATTTTTATGGCCCTGTTTATTGTTTGGTTTGTTCGAATTTCAAAATGAGATTGGCAAGGCATTTGCTTTTTTCTCAAGAATGAAACAAGAAGGAGATAAAATACGATTTAAAATTATATATACAGTGTTGTTAGTTGACAGAGTTTGACACAATCCGTGTCCTCACAGATCACTTAGTAGGCAAAAAGTACCGATATTATGTGGAAATATTTTTATAAAGTATTTAAACTTGATATTTTTTTTTAATTATCTAGCTTATTGAATTCAGGGAAAACGATTGTGTTTCTATTTATACATCAAAATTATTCACATAAATTGAAACTTAAGTCATCACAGGCATACTAGACGTATATATTACCTACTTTGAAACTATGCAGATAGTTGCTGAATGTTTTGTTTGTTTTTGTTTTGTTTTTTGTCAATGTCTATTCATTTAAAATATAACTTTCATTAAGACCGTACAATTTTTACAGGTCTAACAAAGAAACAACTAGAACTGAAATATCCCAAAAGACTGAAGAATCAGAGGCAAGAATCAGCTATGTTTATCAGTGAAGGAGAATTAACACTGGAGTATGATTCTTATGGAACCAAGTTGTTTTGGATCTACTCATGCAAGCACACAATTTGAAACCGACATCATAGACAAGACTAATATGATATCTTTTCAGATGATCGGCAACATGTTTATTAACTTCACAATTTTTATTTTCTACTTTAAGATGATACCTTATAAAAAAAATTAATATATAATATGTTGTAAATTTTAGAACCATTTATGCCCTTGAACAAAAATGTTGCAACAGGCATGGAGGCTTTTTTTAAATAATAAATTATAAGTTTTAGGGATCAAATAGTTTTGTTTTTTTTAACATACTGGACTGTGAGTGATGATAATCATTACTTGAAAACATTGATGATTCATGTATTTCTTAAATGGACATGAGAAAATACAATTCTTTAAATGTGTATGTACCACAATTATATACATCTTTTGCATTTTAAGACGTAAATTTACGTAAATTCCCTGATTTGCAACTTATTACTGATAGTCTATAATGATGTTAAAAAAAATCCAGCAAGCTTTTCTGTCTATTTAGTCTTTCTATTTCAACATTGAACAGTATTGTAATACATGTATTGTTAAGCAATTACCAATGGAGAACACTCAGTTAATTAAAATTGTACTTAAAATTCAATATCAATAAATTTGAATCAATATAGAATTTAAATTGTATTGAGTCATGAATAATCATGAATAATCATGAAACTTGTGTTGCTGTGTAATGTTGAAGATTTTCGAATTTCATAAAGGTTCATCATTGTTCATGAAGTGTAAATTTTTTTCAGTATGAATGTGTTCATGAATTAAATTCATGAACTACTTTTATGAAACTATTATGAATCTTTTATGAGCATTCATGAACAATGATGAACAACTCATAAAAGTTCTTTAAGTCATGAATATCATCTCGCAGGGGTAGGAAACATCTGATATCTATATAAACCACAATTAAAAAAAATAAATATGCACCAAAATATTAAACATCAAAATTGAAATGAAGGGCCACGCCCTCTTTCAAGGGGAGATAATTTAGAATAAGTGAAAATGGAAAAGGGACATCTTTCAGATATCTTCTTCTCAAGAACCATTTGGCCAAAAAGATAAAACTTACATAAAGGCTTTATTATGTAGTTTAGATTCAATTTTGTTCAAATCTGAACCTGTGGGTAGGGTGGACCCACAATGGCCGATGAAGGTTTGACATAGAAATACAATTGTACAAATAAAATATCTTTCAAAATCTTCTTAAGAACAGCAAAGCTATGATTAGTCATTTTTATATGGAAGCTTCCTCAGGGAAAAGAAAATCTAGTGTTATGTTGCATTTCTGATATTGTGTCACACTATGACAGAATAACACTTTGATATTCTATCACAGTACTGTGACAAAATAACAATTTTCTTCAATAAATAAATTACAGCCACTGTATTTCACTGTTGAAAATGTAATAAATGGCTTATTTCCAACAAAATTTATATGCATAAGAGAATGGTTTTGCAAAATCAGATTTTATGGGAATGTTGAAGAACAACTAGTTGAAATTGGATTGGAATGTCACATAAAATTGACATGTCTATAACTGGTAGTTAATTTGTAATGTTTTCAAATATTCCTTATTCTTAAGTTTTCTTTGTAGCATATATTAAAAATGTGTGTTTATAAAAGTAGTTGCAATTTTTGAAAATCAAAAATGAGTGATGTTTATTTTATTGCTATTATCTTCATGCTTTAATGTCATGTCATTTTGAAAATTTTTGAAATAAGAGAATTTTAATACTGTAGATGGAAAAGATAGTGGAAAAGAAACACAACAGACTGGGAAACAAGGTGGCCAAAGTGGGAAGGTGAATTCTGGAAATGATAATGGAGGAAGTGGGAAACCAAACGACAAAGGCAAAGTAGGGAAAGAGGGTAAGAAAAATTGTGATGAGCATTCATTAAAAAAAGCAACATTATCAATGATATCCAACCATAAATAAAAAATTAAATATGCCCCAAAATCAGGGTTCGACACTAACGTTAGTCCGTTAGTCTCAGACTAATACATTTTCATTCGGACTAATAAAATATGTGGCTAATTAGTCCGAATGGACCAATAAAAAATTCTGAAAAAGAATATGAATAAATTACCGATGTCCGATTCTTGACAACTTTTACTAAGAAATCCTGCGTGTATTTTTAGATTTCTAGCTTTTGGCGGGAGTTACGCAATACCGGGTCAATTCAGCGCTTAATTTTTCGACTGATCAATATGAAGTATAAGGTTTTAGCGATCATGATTTAGTATGACACTTTTAAGAAAGATGTTGGACGTTTTGGATGTAATGTAAAGATAAGAAAAAAAACGAGATCGGGAATACGATCGTACTTGCTGATTGTGAGATTTCATGAATCTGTGGAATAATATATTTCACGTAAATACTTTGTTTATTTCAAAAAATAATACGTATATTAATTGTCATGTTAAATTAATGTAAAAAAACATTGATGTTTCTTTTTTTTGACGGACTAATAAAATCGCGTGCGGACTAGTAAAAGTAATGAAGCACTAGTCCGGCTGGACTAAAGCCTTAAAAAGTGAGTGTCGAACCCTGAAAATATTAAACATCCAAATTGGCAAAATGTTCTGGATTGCTGGCAGTTTTCCTGTATATCTCGTAAACATTAAAACTACGTTGGACATTATGCCCCATAACTTAAAATATGGGTATAGAAAATGAAATGTAAATGATCACATTTGTCTGTTGTACCTCTTGCTGTCTAACTGTCTGCTGTCTGTAAACTTTTCCCATTTTCGACTTCTGATGAAAAACACAGAGCCAGTTTAAACCAAACTTGCCACAAAACATGCTTGGGTAAAGGTTATTGACATTTGTTCAAATGAATGGCCACGCCCTCTATCAAGGGGAGATCATTAAGAATAAGTGAAAATGGAAAAGGGACATCTTTCAGATATCATCTTCTCAAGAACCAGTAGGCCAAAAAGATAAAACTTACATAAAGACTTTATTACATAGTTTAGATTCAATTTTGTTCAAATCTGAACCTGTGGGTAGGGTGGACCCACAATGGCCAATCAAGGTTTGACATAGAAATACAATTGTACAAATAAAATATCTTTCAAAATCTTCTTAAGAACAGCAAAGCTATGATTAGTCATATTTATATGGAAGCTTCCTCAGGGAAAAGAAAATCTAGTGTTATGTTGCATTTCTGATATTGTGTCACACTATGACAGAATAACACTTTGATATTCTATCACAGTACTGTGACAAAATAACAATTTTCTTCAATAAATAAATTACAGCCACTGTATTTCACTGTTGAAAATGTAATAAATGGCTTATTTCCAACAAAATTTATATGCATAAGAGAATGGTTTTGCAAAATCAGATTTTATGGGAATGTTGATGAACAACTAGTTGAAATTGGATTGGAATGTCACATAAAATTGACATGTCTATAACTGGTAGTTAATTTGTAATGTTTTCAAATATTCCTTATTCTTAAGTTTTCTTTGTAACATATATTAAAAGTGTGTGTTTATAAAAGTAGTTGTAATTTTTGAAAATCAAAAATGAGTGATGTTTATTTTATTGCTATTATCTTCATGCTTTAATGTCATGTCATTTTGAAAATTTTTGAAATAAGAGAATTTTAATACTGTAGATGGAAAAGATAGTGGAAAAGAAACACAACAGACTGGGAAAGAAGGTGGCCAAAGTGGGAAGGGGAATTCTGGAAATGATAATGGAGGAAGTGGGAAACCAAACGACAAAGGCAAAGTAGAGAAAGAGGGTAAGAAAAATTGTGATGAGCATTCATTAAAAAAAGCAACATAATCAATGATATCCAACCATAAGTAAAAAGTTAAATATGCCCCAAAATATTAAGCATCGAAATTGGCAAAATATTCTGGATTGCTGGCAGTTTTCCCGTATATCTGGTAAAAGTTAAAACTACGTCGGACATTATGCCCCGTAGCTTAAAATATAGGTATATATAGAAAATGAAATGTTAATGATCACATTTGTCTGTGCTACTTCTTGCTGTCTAACTGTCTGCCTGTCCGTAAACTTTTCCCATTTTCGACTTCTGATGAAAAACACAGAGCCAGTTTAAACCAAACTTGCCATAAATCATGCTTGGGTAAAGGTTATTTACGTTTGTTCAAATGAAGGGCCACGCCCTTTTTCAAGGGGAGATAATTTAGAATAAGTGAAAATGGAAAAGGGACATCTTTCAGATATCTTCTTCTCAAGAACCATTTGGCCAAAAAGATAAAACTTACATAAAGGCTTTATTATGTAGTTTAGATTCAATTTTGTTCAAATCTGAACCTGTGGGTAGGGTGGACCCACAATGGCCAATCAAGGTTTGACATAGAAATACAATTGTACAAATAAAATATCTTTCAAAATCTTCTTAAGAACAGCAAAGCTATGATTAGTCATTTTTATATGGAAGCTTCCTCAGGGAAAAGAAAATCTAGTGTTATGTTGCATTTCTGATATTGTGTCACACTATGACAGAATAACACTTTGATATTCTATCACAGTACTGTGACAAAATAACAATTTTCTTCAATAAATAAATTACAGCCACTGTATTTCACTGTTGAAAATGTAATAAATGGCTTATTTCCAACAAAATTTATATGCATAAGAGAATGGTTTTGCAAAATCAGATTTTATGGGAATGTTGATGAACAACTAGTTGAAATTGGATTGGAATGTCACATAAAATTGACATGTCTATACAGTGCCCACTGTGCAATCCGACAACTGTGCAATCCGGCACACTGGACTTTCCGACCTAATATTTTATTCCCAAAATTTTCTTTATAATTTATATAGAATAAAACACTGTATATTCCGACCACTGTATATTCCGAATTCCGGCGCTTTTTTGTCAACAGAACTAGATAATTACTTTATGATTTCACCTGAGTAATCCGACATAATTACACTGGTGTACCGTATAATTAGCCGCTGGCCAGGTAACGTGAATGTCCCGTTTGGTCACAAGATTGGTCTACTTAGAGAGTAGTTAATTACATGTACGAGTTTGAAAGTGTATATGTAAGCAATTATAAACGAACAGTTTTTGAATTAAAAATTAGGCAATCATTTCTCTGTTGTTATATATATGTCCCTGTTGTTATCAATTTTATTCTCGCACTGAAAAAATAGCATCCACGCGACAGAAAATAAAAAGAGTATATGGTGTTTAGATCGCCTTTACCTTACAGAATAAATAAGATTTTCAGCTTGAAATTAAAATCAAATATGCATTCACGGTCCTTCGTAAAACCATGTTATGAAAAAAAAAATGAGTACGGCGAACTACTGTGTAACACAATACACAATTTGAAAGGCAGCATCTTGTCGTATAGAAAACGCTTCATTTCCGGATTAATATACACTGAATCAAGCGAGGCTGTGTACATAAAAGATTCGCCGAAAGCAAAAAATACTGTCTTCAGTTGCCCATTAAATTTAAAATATAATAATAATACAATCGCAATCACAGTTTTAGAGTTACGTCCCGTTTGTATGAAAAGTCGCGTGACGGTATTAATAGCACAGTCTATGTTGAGAAATAAACAATGGTGAAAATCTGTAGAAAAAAATACCACTGTGTAGAGAAGGTAGACGAAATATTTACTTTAATATCGACTGTAGTAAGTAAAAATTAAATTGCAACATCTCGAAGCGATCGGCAGTTCCATGTTTTGGCCATTAAAAAAAAAAAGAAAAACATCGTATATTACTACAAAGTACAGAGTTTACTAATGCTATATCACAAACACTGTTTCTCAAAGAAATGCTAATCAGATCTATTTTATACAGCAAAGAAACACACAATTATGCAAACACTTTGACAATTAAATATAAGTGTATTCTTAACCTATCGAAATTTTTTTTTGTATGAAGTCGTCTGACACATATGATAATGCTCAGAAATATTCAACACTGGGTAATCCGACACACTGCCTAATCCGACATTGATTTTATTTCCCGCAGCATGTCGGATAAGACAGGTTTCACTGTAATTGGTAGTTAATTTGTAATGTTTTCAAAAATTCCTTATTCTTAAGTTTTCCTGGTAGCATATATTAAAAGTGTGTGTTTATAAAAGTAGTTGTAATTTTTGAAAATCAAAAATGAGTGATGTTTATTTTATTGCTACTATCTTCATGCTTTAATGTCATGTCATTTTGAAAATTTTTGAAATAAGAGAATTTTAATACTGTAGATGGAAAAGATAGTGGAAAAGAAACACAACAGACTGGGAAAGAAGGTGGCCAAAGTGGGAAGGGGAATTCTGGAAATGATAATGGAGGAAGTGGGAAACCAAACGACAAAGGCAAAGTAGAGAAAGAGGGTAAGAAAAATTGTGATGAGCATTCATTAAAAAAAGCAACATAATCAATGATATCCAACCATAAGTAAAAAATTAAATATGCCCCAAAATATTAAGCATCGAAATTGGCAAAATGTTCTGGATTGCTGGCAGTTTTCCCGTATATCTGGTAAAAGTTAAAACTACGTCGGACATTATGCCCCGTAGCTTAAAATATGGGTATATATAGAAAATGAAATGTAAATGATCACATTTGTCTGTGGTACCTCTTGCTGTCTAACTGTCTGCCTGTCTGTAAACTTTTCCCATTTTCGACTTCTGATGAAAAACACAGAGCCAGTTTAAACCAAACTTGCCACAAAACATGCTTGGGTAAAGGTTATTTACGTTTGTTCAAATGAAGGGCCACGCCCTCTTTCAAGGGGAGACAATTTAGAATAAGTGAAAATGGAAAAGGGACATCTTTCAGATATCTTCTTCTCAAGAACCATTTGGCCAAAAAGATAAAACTTACATAAAGGCTTTATTATGTAGTTTAGATTCAATTTTGTTCAAATCTGAACCTGTGGGTAGGGTGGACCCACAATGGCCAATCAAGGTTTGACATAGAAATACAATTGTACAAATAAAATATCTTTCAAAATCTTCTTAAGAACAGCAAAGCTATGATTAGTCATTTTTATATGGAAGCTTCCTCAGGGAAAAGAAAATCTAGTGTTATGTTGCATTTCTGATATTGTGTCACACTATGACAGAATAACACTTTGATATTCTATCACAGTACTGTGACAAAATAACAATTTTCTTCAATAAATAAATTACAGCCACTGTATTTCACTGTTGAAAATGTAATAAATGGCTTATTTCCAACAAAATTTATATGCATAAGAGAATGGTTTTGCAAAATCAGATTTTATGGGAATGTTGATGAACAACTAGTTGAAATTGGATTGGAATGTCACATAAAATTGACATGTCTATAACTGGTAGTTAATTTGTAATGTTTTCAAATATTCCTTATTCTTAAGTTTTCTTTGTAACATATATTAAAAGTGTGTGTTTATAAAAGTGGTTGTAATTTTTGAAAATCAAAAATGAGTGATGTTTATTTTATTGCTATTATCTTCATGCTTTAATGTCATGTCATTTTGAAAATTTTTGAAATAAGAGAATTTTAATACTGTAGATGGAAAAGATAGTGGAAAAGAAACACAACAGACTGGGAAAGAAGGTGGCCAAAGTGGGAAGGGGAATTCTGGAAATGATAATGGAGGAAGTGGGAAACCAAACGACAAAGGCAAAGTAGAGAAAGAGGGTAAGAAAAATTGTGATGAGCATTCATTAAAAAAAGCAACATAATCAATGATATCCAACCATAAGTAAAAAGTTAAATATGCCCCAAAATATTAAGCATCGAAATTGGCAAAATATTCTGGATTGCTGGCAGTTGTCCCGTATATCTGGTAAAAGTTAAAACTACGTCGGACATTATGCCCCGTAGCTTAAAATATGGGTATATATAGAAAATGAAATGTAAATGATCACATTTGTCTGTGCTACTTTTTGCTGTCTAACTGTCTGCCTGTCCGTAAACTTTTCCCATTTTCGACTTCTGATGAAAAACACAGAGCCAGTTTAAACCAAACTTGCCATAAATCATGCTTGGGTAAAGGTTATTTACGTTTGTTCAAATGAAGGGCCACGCCCTTTTTCAAGGGGAGATAATTTAGAATAAGTGAAAATGGAAAAGGGACATCTTTCAGATATCTTCTTCTCAAGAACCATTTGGCCAAAAAGATAAAACTTACATAAAGGCTTTATTATGTAGTTTAGATTCAATTTTGTTCAAATCTGAACCTGTGGGTAGGGTGGACCCACAATGGCCAATCAAGGTTTGACATAGAAATACAATGTACAAATAAAATATCTTTCAAAATCTTCTTAAGAACAGCAAAGCTATGATTAGTCATTTTTATATGGAAGCTTCCTCAGGGAAAAGAAAATCTAGTGTTATGTTGCATTTCTGATATTGTGTCACACTATGACAGAATAACACTTTGATATTCTATCACAGTACTGTGACAAAATAACAATTTTCTTCAATAAATAAATTACAGCCACTGTATTTCACTGTTGAAAATGTAATAAATGGCTTATTTCCAACAAAATTTATATGCATGAGAATGGTTTTGCAAAATCAGATTTTATGGGAATGTTGATGAACAACTAGTTGAAATTGGATTGGAATGTCACATAAAATTGACATGTCTATAATTGGTAGTTAATTTGTAATGTTTTCAAATATTCCTTATTCTTAAGTTTTCCTGGTAGCATATATTAAAAGTGTGTGTTTATAAAAGTAGTTGTAATTTTTGAAAATCAAAAATGAGTGATGTTTATTTTATTGCTATTATCTTCATGCTTTAATGTCATGTCATTTTGAAAATTTTTGAAATAAGAGAATTTTAATACTGTAGATGGAAAAGATAGTGGAAAAGAAACACAACAGACTGGGAAAGAAGGTGGCCAAAGTGGGAAGGGGAATTCTGGAAATGATAATGGAGGAAGTGGGAAACCAAACGACAAAGGCAAAGTAGAGAAAGAGGGTAAGAAAAATTGTGATGAGCATTCATTAAAAAAAGCAACATAATCAATGATATCTAACCATAAGTAAAAAATTAAATATGCCCCAAAATATTAAGCATCGAAATTGACAAAATGTTCTGGATTGCTGGCAGTTTTCCCGTATATCTGGTAAAAGTTAAAACTACGTTAGACATTATGCCCCATGGCTTAAAATATAGGTGTATATAGAAAATGAAATGTAAATGATCACATTTGTCTGTGGTACCTCTTGCTGTCTAACTGTCTGCCTGTCTGTAAACTTTTCCCATTTTCGACTTCTGATGAAAAACACAGAGCCAGTTTAAACCAAACTTGCCACAAAACATGCTTGGGTAAAGGTTATTGATGTTTGTTCAAATGAAGGGCTACACCCTCTTTCAAGGGGAGATAATTAAGAACTAGTGAAAATTGAAAAGGGACATCTTTCAGATATCTTCTTCTCAAGAACCATTTGGCCAAAAAGATAAAACTTACATAAAGGCTTTATTATGTAGTTTAGATTCAATTTTGTTCAAATCTGAACCTGTGGATAGGGTGGACCCACAATGGCCGATGAAGGTTTGACATAGAAATACAATTGTACAAATAAAATATCTTTCAAAATCTTAAGAACAGCAAAGCTATGATTAGTCATTTTTATATGGAAGCTTCCTCAGGGAAAAGAAAATCTAGTGTTATGTTGCATTTCTGATATTGTGTCACACTATGACAGAATAACACTTTGATATTCTATCACAGTACTGTGACAAAATAACAATTTTCTTCAATAAATAAATTACAGCCACTGTATTTCACTGTTGAAAATGTAATAAATGGCTTATTTCCAACAAAATTTATATGCATAAGAGAATGGTTTTGCAAAATCAGATTTTATGGGAATGTTGATGAACAACTAGTTGAAATTGGATTGGAATGTCACATAAAATTGACATGTCTATAACTGGTAGTTAATTTGTAATGTTTTCAAATATTCCTTATTCTTAAGTTTTCTTTGTAACATATATTAAAAGTGTGTGTTTATAAAAGTGGTTGTAATTTTTGAAAATCAAAAATGAGTAATGTTTATTTTATTAAGGTCTTCCGTTTCCAACGGAAGACCTTCTACCGATTGTGATGATTAAGATTATTCTAATTATTCTTTTCTTTTTTTTTTTCCTAGACGCCAACTTTGACACTTCATATCTTCCTCATTTTTAAACAGATTTTGTTCAAATTTTCAGAGCTTTTAGACTTTACAAAACACTGTCAGAATACCGTAATACAATTCGGAAATTACCTTCTGTTCACGAGTTATTCCCCTTTGATTGAATTTAGCATGCCTCCGATTTCCAGACAAAGGCTCAGAAATGGTTATAATTGGAGCACAAAACGCTTTGAAATTGAAAAGAGGAAGCATTGAAGTTGTGCACATCGGTTTTTGTTTTTTGATTTTTGCATTAAAAATGGCGCTAGAGAGGGGTCAAAAGTTAGAACGCGGAAAACAGCAAAAAATTTGACATATTTTCCTTTATATCTTGAAAACTAGAAATATTTTGTTAAGACATGTAGAACAAAAGTTGTGCATAATTGCAAGAGCTTTCATATCATACTATTTAAAAGGGGCTGGCCCCTATGATTAGGGATCTTGGGCCCTTAAAAGTTTTTGCTTTATAACTCAAAAACGATAAATATTTCGATCTGGATCTTGGGAACAAAATTGTTCTTTTACACCTTTTTGATCTAATGAAAATGTTGTTTTGTTCGAGTATACCATGGGTATTGTGTAATACGTATTAGAAAGCAGGCCAGGTAAACAGATAACGTTTTTCATTCGGCAAGGAAATCAGACCTCTTCATGTGTATAACTTAAACAGACTTGCTATCAATAATATACCCTGCGGTATTTAATGTTAATTTTCTTTTTAATAAGGTTTAAAACGTGGTTTATGGTTCACTATTAAATTATTTATTACAACTAGTCTTTCTTTTCTTCTTTTTTAAATTAGATTAATAGTGTTCAAAAGCGGAGAATATTAAATCTATCTTTCTACGTTTATTATTACAACAAACTTTGTAAGTGATTTTAAACTGTATGCATTGAATAATTCACGATCATTAGCTGTATGCATATTACGGTCTCCATGTTCAGCTCAATGTTTAGTTATGTAACCCAACGCGCGAATCCCACGCTGTTGATCGAGGTCACCAGTGCACTAGCCACCTGTGGCCATAAACAAAGCTAGTATTTGTGATCGCGTATAATGTCAATTTTGTACAAAGAGCTATTAATTAATGGAAAGGTATGTTTTTAATTATATCGAATCAGTAAGATTACTTTACCGATCTTTTATAATCTTAATTCCAAACACTGGTGCAAAAAATCATTTTGAATTTTAATCGCTGTTTTTGTCTGTTCACGCAACAATACATTTTATAAAAAGTTGCTCTATCCCGTGTTGTTGTATTTTAATTCATCTGCAATTGTAATTGAATGGGGGCTTCGGTAAATAATTGTAGTTACTACGCATGCTACGCACATATTATTTTTACCATCACTCTTGTGAATGTCCATTTATTATTTATAGAATTAAATAAACATTAACATAAATAAAAATTCCTTCAAATGTACTATAATTCAAGTCTTTGTAAGATAGCAAACAGTTTCATCCATCTCTGCCGCTTTGTGTCTTAAGTGTTGTAGTCCAGTCCTCGTTTACATACACGGTGCCACAGAGAGCCGCGGGCACCTCGATGTTGAAATACATTGTGTACTCTGATAGTTGCTCTACACCGCACAAACAACTAACGTGTACATGCAGTGTAGTAATTGGCAAAGATTGTTTGAAAAATATAAACTCGCATGTGTTCGCTATGAAGCATTCAGTTTAAAATTTTATTTACAGTGGCGCCGCGTTTATCCGGACGCCATTTATCCGGACGCTTCACCATCCGGACGATATTTTTTGGGAACCAATTTTTTCCACGTTATTTTGTCTCATTAATCCGGAAATTCGCGTTCCGTATCCGGACGGTCAATTTCTACTACAAAAACGTAATAGTTCATTGAAAAATGACTCGTTTATCCGGACGGTAATTTTTCAAGAAACGACTTTTTCACACTTTGCTTGCATTCGTGTTAATTGTTGTAAAAACATTGGCCATGCAGTCAGTTTGAAGACGGTTACCTGTGACCTACAAACAATAGCGTCTGTTATTATCGTGTGTTTACCCTAATTCAATCACACGTTTATCTTTAATATTTAGCTGACACTTGTGCATTAATTAAATAATAATCTGTTCAAAATCATATTGCTAACCGTATGTACATCGGTAAATTCAGGAGAATTTTGGAGAGTTGTAAATAAAATGAACAAATAATTAAATAACGAGCGATTTCGTAATGCTCTTTATCATGTTGATTGCGTTAGTTTAAAATACTGTTTTCCATTTCTAAAAACGTAAACATACGTATATCTCTATTTAATGTACATGAACTACCGTTTACAAACGTCCATTGCTTTAGAAAAGATATATAAAACTGGCGTTACGTACAGAAGTTGATTACGTTTATCAACTGAAGGTATTTTTAATGATCGAAATTCAAACTTAGCGACTGTAGAAAAAAAAATATTGATAATCATGAAGATGGCTTGTGTTTACGAGTGTTTTTAATACTTTGTTTGTGTAAGCTTGCAGTTAATTTTATAATAACCCTGTGTAATGAATATACGGGGAATATACGGGGTTAGTTTATATTTGAACATTTTTAATGATGATGCTGAACAGTTCTGTCATATCATATGAGCTTCAATAATTTTAATATATGGCTAAATAAAACAACTGTAGATCAAAATTTGCTCAGCCCATGAAGTCACAGGCCAAAGAGAAGGCGAATTAAATTAGGAGGTCTCAGCATAAAATTGCCCATCCATTTTTTTTATTGTGTAAATTACATTTTAATATATTTTTTTCTTAAATCAATTACTGCTTTTAAAACAATAAACCAAAATATAACTTAAAAGTTTTTTTCTTTGCTGTCACATTTGAAACAAGAATGTGCATATATACAATGTACATGCTTAGAGAGTGCTTTTTTAGATGTGATTCAATTATCCGGACGATTCATTTATCCGAACGATTTCGTTGGGGACAGAGGCGTCCGGATAAACGAGGCGCCACTGTACATGTAGATACCTTATAAGAACAAAATAAAGTAAATGTATAACACCTAGAACAATGTTTAAAAATTAAAATACAAATATCGTGTGCTCGGAAGGGAAGATGGCTTGAAAGGGTGTGTCTGTGAATGCTTGGATCTAGCAACACACTTCGCAAAGTTAAGCATACTTGTGTCCAAATCCTTTAAAAGTGGGGGCAATCCCCAATCCTCGCAACCTTCCTTTTTGAATCAAAAAATATATACCATACTGAGAGTTGTATATAGAGCGGGAATGTTATTTTATTAGTCCTTAAAGGCACAACTTAAGAAATGACTTATAAATTTTTTTTAGATAAGATTGTTTCGCGATACAGCTGTGATAAATCTTAGGAACTTCTAAAGTTATAACTTAGGCATATCTTAAGATGTCATGTCAAGCATTCAGTCAGATCTATTACGACGTCCATATTACCATATAAGAGAATGAAATTTTGTTTTGTATATAAAGTGGTTATTACAAATATGCGTGTTACAAAAATGTATGTTGAAATCTTCAAAAGCTATCGAATTATTTGCATACGTGTACTCGTACATATGTACATTGATCAACACTGATCAAGTGTATACCGGGACCCGGGATAGTCTTATTGTAGCTCTTGCTTTGTCAAATCATTACTTTCATATCCCTTGCATTTAAAAAAAACATTGTTATAAAAAAAATAATAATCTGACATATAACAAGTATACATGTAGCGTGTGCAATTTATTTGGCTAGGGGCATGTACACACGTGGTTCGAAACTGTAGGGGGCTACAAATGCGGCCATAACTAGTATATTTTTGAGGTGTTATAAAAAACAAATAATACTCACAAAAGCTTATAAAATTGCTGTTCTATCGATACCTTATATGCCATGTTTCATCCACCAACAACGCCACGACATCGATGAGAAATACGTTTCTACACGGGCATTTTCTTCGAAAAGGATAGGAAGTTAATGAATTAAAATAATTAATTCTTTTAGTTAACGCATTATGTTTACCTCTTTATTTGTTGTATGCAATAAGTATAGACCTTACTAATAATGACTGTTTGGTTGTCACACCTGTGCATGTGTCGTGTGAGGTACAGCGGTAAGGTAAATTACCGAGAGTCGCGATGTGCGGGGTGATTCAGAATACCCTAAATGACTGTGGTCCATTGAATTTCTACTAGTAAATCAACCTGTCAAATCTAACATGGGCCCACATAATACGACTAAATTCGTTTCATGAATGAACTGGTTCTTAACAAATATATGTACAGTATACACTATCTTTTCTTTAGATCTGTTTGTTTATTATTTTCAACCACAATCTGAAGTACACGAAATCCATGCACATCGGCGCTACACCTGTCAATCAAAATCACTTGATATTGTGAACTCAGTCTGGTGTTACGGCAGCATTTCCGAAGTGATTCAAAATATTCTATCGGCTAATTCTAATTTTTCGCGTTGAATAATAATATTTTGGAACAAAGTTGGAATTAAGGCTGGAGCTGCATGCTGTGAATTTATCACACCTGCAGTCTGCAGTCTTCCCTTCTTACATGTATATGAAGCATCTGTTGAGTAATGAATCAGAGAGCATAATATGCGGAACAAGTTTGATTGAGATTTTTGCTTTTCCTTTAAGATAAAATGATTAATAACATAATTTATGCATCTAATAGATACATATAAATGTACATGTATAGCTTTTTAAAAACAAGAATCTGTAATTAAAAATGTGAAAGTGAAGAGTTTAGGTAATTGTTCTTAGCCAAAATTTAATGACAGTTCATTCCTTCCTAGTCTCTATATAACTTTTAATTACGGCCGTGCCCTCTCCCCTTCAAAAGATGTCTAATACATGCTTTTAAATTCTGTTTATGTATCAAGAAATTTCCACAGGTACTTGTGGACAGGATCCCCCCCCCCCCCCCCCAATTCAACCCCAATGTTTGTTGGACATTTTTTTCCACAAATTATATTTATTACACTTATTCATCTTGTGTACCATAGGAAAAAATCGAGTACAAGTACCTGTGGAAATTTCTATTTGCCCCCCCCCCCCCCTTCCCAAAAAAAACTGAAATTGTTTTCTACGGGCTTGACAACAGGTACTTGTGGACAGACCCCCCCCCCCCCGATATTCAACCCCGGGGCTTGTTGGACATTTTTTCCACAAATTATATTTATTGCACTTACTCATCATGTGTACCATATGAAAAAATCGTGAAAACCCCAAAATAATCGTTCCACACAAGAAATGCCTCACTATGTATAGTTAAAACATTAATTTTTCATATTTCTTGATGAAATTAACATTAATAAAATCAACACAAAATTAATACCGAATTACATATCACTTGAATTTATCATAAAGCAGAAAATCTGTTCTGCGGGCTTCAAGGCCAGCTCAGGAACCTAAAGATGTCCTCATTTAATTTCCAAGTCCAGTACAGAACGTAAATTAAATGAAATAAATCACACGATCACTGGGAAGAACTCAAAGAAAGAAGACTCTTGAGGAAAAGATATTATGATTCGACTTATAGACTGAAATAAACCGATATTCTCTTTTTGCCACTCTTTCCTGGTGCCCTGGGACTCTGAATGTAGGATCAGTATTTTTCTCACAGGTCCGTTGTACGGATTGTACGGGGGGGGGGGGGGGGGGGGGGGGGGGGGGGGGGGGGCAGACCTTCTGAAAATAGTCTTTTGTTGTAGTTTTAATATGTAAATTTTGATTTAGTTGCTGCTTGCACCCTCCCCACTCTTTGTTTCTCTACGGTCATACATAGGCGAATCCCAGCAAAAATGTAATGACCCCCCCCCTCCAACACACACTTTTTTTTAAATGTGTATTGCGATAGGACTTAAAATTGGAAAACATTTTCTGTATATCTCTACATCGAAAAATATAAAACAAATATTTTTTTTTATATTTCCTTTTTAAAACAACATAGATAATTATGCATAGCTAATTAAATACTGAATTAAATATTTATCTTTGCAGACAATATGCTCTGGGTTATAGAACATGATGTGAAAGCGTATCGTAATGCACCTTGTAATCCTTTGGATTTTCAGATTTAAGGCCAATGCGAAAACCCAAAGACCCCGACATTTTATTATGCTACTGTAATCGAAGATCCGGGGGGCATACAATTTTTGTCCTGTCCACCTGTCTATTTGTCTGTTAGACTGTGTTAGCCTCTTCGTCCGCAAAAACTTTAACTATGCCCATAAAATTTGATTGGTTGGAACTACTGCTTTCATATTTCTTATGTGTATTCCTAGTAACAAGGACTTCCTTCAGGTACCAACATATTTTGACCTTGAACTTGGAGTTTGATCCTCTTTCGCAAAATTTTACCAAACTATAACCTTGGCCAAAACTTTTGAACAGTTGGTGCTATAGCTTTTATACTTCACATCTGTATCCCTTGTGATAAGTCTCCTCCTTGGGTATAAATATGTTTGACCATTTGACCTTGACCTTGGAGTTTGACCAACTTTTAAACAACTTTAGCCTTGACAATAACTTTTGAATGACTAGTACTAGGGCTTTTATATTACATAGGTAATTTTCTTGTGACAAGGCCTGTCAATGTATACCTTTAATTTTGACCATTTTACCTTGACCTTTGAGTATGTCCTACTTTTGAAAAACTTTAACCTTGGTTTTAACTTTTGAACAGTTGGTGCTAAGGCTTTTTTAATACCACATGTGTATTCCTTGTAACAATTAAGACCTTCCCTCAAGTACAAACAATTATGATCCCTTGACCTTGGAGTTTGACCTTTTAAAGAAATTAACCTTGGCCATAACTTTTAAACTGTTGCTGCTGTGGCTTTCATACTAGTATATATTTCACAGTATATTCTTTGTTCAAGACCTTTATTTGGGTAATAACATTTATTTTTATCTTTTGATCTTGACCATGGAGTTTGACTTGCATTTGAGAAACTTTTAACTTTTGCCATAAGATGCCATATGGGGCATCAGTGTTTCAAAAATCACACGTTGTTCAGTATCCAAATCGGGCATAAAACATTTACAATGATCCTTTAAAGCAGTGAGTTGAACCTAATAAATTACGACTATAGAAATTATGATAATTTATTTCGATGTATGGTCTAAAAAAACGTTTATTATACCTCTGTGAAAACTAGCTTACAAGTTAAAAATCACTAGTAAAATAGAATTTGATTGGCCGAGAAAGTCATGTGTCCATCATGTTTGCCCTGCAACAAAACGTCGTGTTTCACGATTGTGACGTCACAATTAAACGAGTGAGGAGTTAGATTGTTTATAGCGACGCTGCTAACTTCGTTCGCGCGGTAACAACAACTAAAAATTCACCCCAAAAAATCACCTTAATTAATGGAATTGCATACAGATAGTAGATTAAACGTTCTTTGTTAAAATGTTTGCACTTTTCAAAATTCGTTTATGGAAATACAGCTGACATACGTCATGAGACGTCACAGTCTAGACGTTCCAAATGTCTCGTGCTGTTTGAAGAGGCGGATCTTAAAATTAAGTGAACAATGCACTCGCCCAACGGTCGCACTGTCAACATATTATCGTTGATTGATTGTGTCGATTTAAATGTGTAAAAGTGTAATGGTGTTTGAATGTTACTGGTGTGATCACACAAACTTGTCACATAGGAATTTTTTTTTAATGAAATGAGGCTATTGGTGTACCTGTAACTTACATCTCTTTCATATCGTTCTCATCAAATGCATGTTTGCTTTATTGATTGGATTTCCTTTGTAATTCCTGCATTTTGGTTAATTCGGTATTATAAACAATTTATTGCATAATAGTGAGGGAGACATAAGATTTCTTCGCAAATGAAAAATCATATTTCCCTCGGGCGTTGCCTCCGGGGAGTATGATTTTTCATGGGCGAAGAAATCTTCATGTTGCCCTCGGGGAATATGATTTTTTATGGGCGAAGAAATCTTCATGTCTCCCTTACTATCATGCAATAAATGCAAACTGCGAACTTGTCAATTCCGAAACACACAAAAGGGTATCGCTGATATCATACAGAGTGTATCATTGCCTTGATCAGGCCTATAGGAAGCAAATTCAGGGGTTTTTTTTTTGGGGGGGGGGGGGGGCAGCCATACATTTTCAGTCGACAGTTCAGGGGGCACTACTACCATAAATTTCCTGACAAGCAAAAAAAAGGTCACCAACTACAAAAAATTCCTTGACAAGCAAAAAAAAAAGAAGGTTATCAGACGTTTTTATTGAGGTGGCACAAGCTATAGTATCTATGTCTACTATAGTAATCTATATATCGGCAAAATTATTGGGGGGGGCCCTCCCTCGGTTCCTACGGCCATGTTGATTAAATTTAGGGTCACTAAGGAAAGAATGTTTTGACTGGATGAATGGTCTGAAAGAACATGTGTTAACTTGTCGAGTCGGTAACACATAGATGGGGTTTGCTTATAACCAGAGTGTGTCATGGTTTGATGCAAGGTCATTTGAACGAGTTCAAGGTCATCAACAGAGAAACAACATTCCTTAACTGTCTTTCTACTGGTGAGACATTGCAAGTTGATACCCCTTACAAGATTGCTTATAACCTTAGAATGTGGCATGACCTTGACTCAAGGTCACTTCTTCCTGTTCGCAGCTCCAACGGAAGACCTACTCGTTGCTTTGCAACGAGCTCTGCTCTAGTTGCTATTATCTTCATGCTTTAATGTCATGTCATTTTAAAAATTTTTGAAATAAGAGAATTTTAATACTGTAGATGGAAAAGATAGTGGAAAAGAAACACAACAGACTGGGAAAGAAGGTGGCCAAAGTGGGAAGGGGAATTCTGGAAATGATAATGGAGGAAGTGGGAAACCAAACGACAAAGGCAAAGTAGAGAAAGAGGGTAAGAAAAATTGTGATGAGTATTCATTAAAAAAAGCAACATAACCAATGATATCCAACCATACGTAAAAAATTAAATATGCCCCAAAATATTAAGCATCAAAATTGACAAAATGTTCTGGATTGCTGGCAGTTTTCCCGTATATCTGGTAAAAGTTAAAACTACGTTAGACATTATCCCCCATAGCTTAAAATATAGGTATATATAGAAAATGAAATGTAAATGATCACATTTGTCTGTGGTACCTCTTGCTGTCTAACTGTCTGCCTATCTGTAAACTTTTCCCATTTTCGACTTCTGATGAAAAACACAGAGCCAGTTTAAACCAAACTTGCCACAAAACATGCTTGGGTAAAGGTTATTGACGTTTGTTCAAATGAAGGGCCACGCCCTCTTTCAAGGGGAGACAATTAAGAACTAGTGAAAATGGAAAAGGGACATCTTTCAGATATCTTCTTCTCAAGAACCATTTGGCCAAAAAGATAAAACTTACATAAAGACTTTATTACATACATGTAGTTTAGATTCAATTTTGTTCAAATCTGAACCTGTGGGTAGGGTGGACCCACAATGGCCGATGAAGGTTTGACATAAAAATACAATTGTACAAATAAAATATCTTTCAAAATCTTCTTAAGAACAGCAAAGCTATGATTAGTCATATTTATATGGAAGCTTCCTCAGGGAAAAGAAAATCTAGTGTTATGTTGCATTTCTGATATTGTGTCACACTATGACAGAATAACACTTTGATATTCTATCACAGTACTGTGACAAAATAACAATTTTCTTCAATAAATAAATTACAGTCACTGTATTTCACTGTTGAAAATGTAATAAATGGCTTATTTCCAACAAAATTTATATGCATGAGAGAATGGTTTTGCAAAATCAGATTTTATGGGAATGTTGATGAACAACTAGTTGAAATTGGATTGGAATGTCACATAAAATTTACATGTCTATAACTGGTAGTTAATTTGTAATGTTTTCAAATATTCCTTATTCTTAAGTTTTCTTTGTAGCATATATTAAAAGTGTGTGTTTATAAAAGTAGTTGTAATTTTTGAAAATCAAAAATGAGTGATGTTTATTTTATTGCTATTATCTTCATGCTTTAATGTCATGTCATTTTGAAAATTTTTGAAATAAGAGAATTTTAATACTGTAGATGGAAAAGATAGTGGAAAAGAAACACAACAGACTGGGAAAGAAGGTGGCCAAAGTGGGAAGGGGAATTCTGGAAATGATAATGGAGGAAGTGGGAAACCAAACGACAAAGGCAAAGTAGAGAAAGAGGGTAAGAAAAATTGTGATGAGCATTCATTAAAAAAAGCAACATAATCAATGATATCCAACCATAAGTAAAAAATTAAATATGCCCCTTAATATTAAGCATCAAAATTGGCAAAATATTCTGGATTGCTGGCAGTTTTCCCGTATATCTGGTAAAAGTTAAAACTACGTTGGACATTATGCCCCGTAGCTTAAAATATGGGTATATATAGAAAATGAAATGTAAATGATCACATTTGTCTGTGGTACTTCTTGCTGTCTGACTGTCTGCCTGTCCGTAAACTTTTCCCATTTTCGACTTCTGATGAAAAACACAGAGCCAGTTTAAACCAAACTTGCCACAAAACATGCTTGGGTAAAGGTTATTTACGTTTGTTCAAATGAAGGGCCACGCCCTTTTTCAAGGGGAGACAATTTAGAATAAGTGAAAATGGAAAAGGGACATCTTTCAGATATCTTCTTCTCAAGAACCATTTGGCCAAAAAGATGAAACTTACATAAAGGCTTTATTACGTAGTTTAGATTCAGTTTTGTTCAAATCTTGACCTGTGGATAGGGTGGGCCCACAATGGCCGATCAAGGTTTGACATAGGAATACAATTGTACATATGAAATATCTTTCAAAATCTTCTTAAGAACAGCAAAGCCATGATTAGTCATATTTATATGGAAGCTTCCTCAGATATTGTTGACTCAAATTTGTTCAAATCATGACCCACAGGGATAGAGTGGGGTGGCAATGTGTGATCAAAGTATTACACAGGTTTTTATAGATGAAATTTTCTACATGCTTTCACGCAAAGCAAAGCCATGATTGGTCATATGAACACAGAATCATCCTCAGGTAGTGCAAATTGAAGTTCAATGTTCATTCAAATCATGATGCCAGGGGTTAGGGTGGACACAATAGGGAGATCAAAGTTATAGATAGAATTATATAGGAAATTTTTTTAAAATCATTTTCTCAAGAACAGCAAAGCACTGAGTAGTCATATAAATATAGAAGCATCCTCAGGTAGTGTTGATTGAAGGTTTCTCAAATCATGTTCCCTGGGGGGTAAGGGTGGGGTAAAATAGAAGATCAATCTTTTACATAGAAATATATATAAGTAAGATCTTTAAAAATCTCTTAAAGCCATGATTAGTCGAAAGATTTGGAAGCATCATCAGTAAGTGTAGATTCAAGTTTGTTCAAATCATGATCTTTGATGGGGTTGTGGGGGGAGGGGGTGTACTTATATATTAATACTGACCTGATTTCTGCTTTTCTGTAGCCAAAGTGCACAAGTGAGCAATGTAGCCCATGGTCCTCTTTTTTTATATTAAAATACATTGGTTACCATGCAAAGTTGAAATTATTTTTTCGAGGAAACAACTCTAATAATGAACACCTAATGTTAATTAAAGGACCCCTTTAAAAAAGGAGATAGGTTAACAAGGCGTGAAGAATGCCTATAGCTACAGATATGTAAAAATCCTACTCAGTTTGTGAATTTAGTATTTAGAGTAAAGTTATCTTTAATATTGAAATTTATGAAATTATGATAAACGAAACTTTTCTGAGGAAAATTTTCTCAGCAAAAATTATTCTGTTATTTAAAAAATAATGTGGTATCTGTGGGGTTCGAATCCTAGCAATAAAAATCCTGAGTATTGTTTTCCTTTGAGACTAATGCGCTAATCACTACCACCCCTACTAATTATTTTGTGATTTAAATTCAAGACACGTGGTGTAGGTTTACCCATTCAAGGGTTATAGGGTAGAACCGGTTTTATTAATAAAATTGGCAGTAAACAGGAAATTGCTAGTCTTTTTCTTTTAAAAAGATATCCTATAAAAATGTGTTTCCAGACATCTCTGAGAGATTTTCTTGATTTTAAACAGAGAAGGGTGGGGGGGGGGGGGGGGGTGTTAAAATCACAATTTAATCTTCGCTTTTGTGATAATTTAAAGGCAAAAATTGGAGCTCAGTAGTGACAATTTTTCCAAAATCGCCCAATACGCTGTTAAAAAAAGTGTGTAATATCTTCTACAATGAACCTGTGTTTACCTTATACGTCTATTGTTATTAATGCGCACAGAGGATCTTACTATGTACAAATGACCAATCATTGAATGAATAGCAACGTTTACTGGACAACTACATGTACATGTTTACATTTTACTTGGAACACGTGGCTCAGGTCAATCTACGATCGATATTAAATGGACTGCAAAAACCAATTTAAAAAAGAACAACTTTTTTATGAAAAAATACAATGATTAGAAACTATAAAAGATTTCACAGGCGTTTGCAATTTGTTGTTACGCTGTCAACTAGAAAATGTACATGTATACAATAAAATGTAGTCTGTGCCACGTTCGGAACACCTGCACTTCAAGGTTAAGGAAAACGAGCAGCATCCCTTAGGTATCTTAACAGTTAAATGGACAACATTTTTTTTTTTTTTTTTTTTTTTTTCTTTTTTTATTACATTACAATACCCGAGATTACATGTGTCTTTGGCCGGGGAACCCGCCTGACAATTGTATTCACCAATAGTACAACAAAGGAATACAGAGTCAATGAAATTGCCTTACAGTTTGGCTTTGCGAAAACATGAATTCTACGTTTATCTAACAAATGTTTGTAATTGTAGCATGGGAATGATATAATAAAAATGGACAGATTACTTTTCATCTACGAAATGTATGGAAAAAAAATTTGGGGGGCCTTTCCGATCACCTGTAGATTTGTTTTTTTCCCAAGCATATAAATTGCAGTAGTAACCGTAGTAACCCACATTGCAATTCAACTCATTCAGCTGATTTTTCAGTTTAAGCCATGTTGGTACCTCATTTGCTAATCTGATGCCAAAAATATAGTCCCAGTTTCCATGCAAGTGTTTTTGTCCAAAAAGAAATTTTAATACACAACTGCAGAAAATAATTTCATTAGGAATATTTATTGAAGTTTGAATGAATTTAAGAGAGACTGAAGTAGATATCTACATATATAATACAATGATGAAAACTGAAATGCAACGTAACTTTTCTGTTTACATGTTTCCCCATGGAAGTCACTTCCTAGCCTTATATCCGTGAATAATTTACCTCATCTCACTGTAGTCTCGCTAAATCTCGCCAGAGCTACTGTCAGAGCTACTCTGAACTCCTCGAGTTTTATAATTTGTGTAATACCGGAAAAAAAAGATTCTGAACACATTAATAGTGGTGACTACGCTACATAGCTCCTGATGAAAATTGGCATTTAAATCATTTTTGTCGTACCATTGACTAAATGGATTTTCAAGGTATAGTGGGTCTTTGCTCCATGTTTTTGTTAGCCAAAAAATGTATATTGTTACACAAAGTTTGAGGATAAACTTTCAAAAAATGGAGCGAAGACCCACTCATATCGAAAAAAATGTTTTGTAGTCAGAAAATGATCCTTTTGCACTCTTTAGTGCGTGTATGCTATTTCACAGGCAAATAATTTTAATCTTTGTGAGATCTTTGCAAAGAACAAGTCTCAATAAGGCTTATCTGTGGTCCCCGGTCACTTGTTAAATTTCGAACATTTATTAAAATTTTTAAAAATTAAATTTTATTATTAACTAATGTCTTTATTATTTGAATCATCATCTAAAAAGGTCAAACAATAGATATAGGCAGCATACTAAGCTGCACATTGAAGACAGGGTCCTTTGATTTTCATGAATATCAAAAGAAATCAGTGACAGGTACATGTACACACTTCAAAGCTTTCGTAAACACCAAGCCCAGGTTTGTTCCGAGTCGAGTTTGAAATATAATGTGTGTATTATATGTGTAAATGTTGAGTGAAAATATCTTTGTTGAACAACCTCTATTTTTCTAATTAAAAGTATTGTAATTTTGAATCTTTTCGCTGACTTCATTTACATGCGATCAACCTCTTTATGACCTGTTAAGAATCATAACAAGCCACATGGATTTGTATCATTACGGGCAAATGACCTGTTTAGAATCATAACAAGCCACATGGATTTGTATCGTTACGGGCAAATGCCCCCAGTAAACGTGCTAGTTCTCAGTTGAAACGTACTCAGTTTTATATAGATCAGCATGGACTTGTTTGGTTCATCTTGTTATAGCTTTTATTGCCAAAGTTTTGTAAATAGAAAATTGTATTAATATTTTGTAGTTGATTGTGAATCTTGAACATATAATATGTCTTCGAACAAGGAAAAATATCGTATCAAGATCTTCTTTTTATAGTATCTAATCTAAATATCTCCGCCCATTTCTATGTAATAGAGAAACCGTAGTCTGATCGGGGGAAAATGTTCCGGCATTTTTAAGTGCGATAGGTGTTAAAAATAGACTTGTATTTTTGGATTTGTTTAATTATTCATTATAAATACATCATGTTTTAATTAGAAATACTTCGTTATACTCAATGAAAACAAACAAAATACGGTATGCTAATATTTAACCGGTAAACCAAGGGTGTAAAAAGGGACCACACTACTATACTAAAGTAGAATACTCCCTTGGAGATTTTACATACCGGTATTTAAAGTACGAGGAATGTCCGGTAAAATCATGGACAAAGCGTTTTTATTGAAAAATAATGGGCGCACTAAACTAAAATTTTCAGCAAATGTTTATTAGCTCAGCTGAGCTGAAGGCTCAAGTGATCTTTTCTGATCGAAAGAGCTAGGTTCACTTTATGCATAAAATGGCCCTGTAGATAAACCAATTTATCCACTAACACACTATGCCCCTTTCTCAACATCAATATAAAGTAGAGACTTGGTGCTTTCAGTTTGTGTATAAAAGTTTCCTCTAAAGAGTCCAGGTACTCGAAAACAGGTTGTGTGAAATTGCGATGTTCTTGAATTTTGCAGAAAACAGGTGAATTTGAGAACCTTCAACAAAGAATTAAAATATGAGCACACCCCTCAATCCAAAAATTAAAATATATTTTATAATCTTAATAAGCACTTCTTTCGTAATATATTTGCACATTTTGGATCGGAGGTTGTGCTGTATACGAAATATTGAAAAATAGCATCATATTTTGGCCATTTTTGAAGTAATATTCGGGATATGTGAATAATGACGCAATTCATGACGTCATAATGTATTGACTATCAAGAAAATTACGTCATTTTTAGTAGAAATTCAGTCACCAAGTGTTCAAGTGATATTTATTGCCTTGTCGACTAAAACTATGCAGTTTTGATTTTTCAGAAATTTACAGGGTCAAAAAAGGCCCTAAGTGGCCCTTGCTCTTTGTCCGTTGTTGTCGTCGTAAACTTTTCACATTTTCATCTTCTTCTTGAGAACCACTGGGCCAATTTCGAACAAACTTGCCACAAAGTATCCTTGGGTAAAGGGGATTTAAGTTTGTTCAAATGAAGGGCCACTATTATTCCAAGGGGAGATAATTACGAATTTGTGAAAAATTAATGACATCATTTAAAAATCTGCTAGAAAATATGAAACTTATGGGAAGCATCCTCAGGTAATATAGATTCAAGTTTGTTCAAATCATGACCCCCAGGGGTAGGGTGGGACCACAATGGGCGATCAAAGTTTCACATAGGAAAAATCTTTAAAAATCTTATTCTTAAGAACATCAAAGTTATGATTGGCCATATTTTTTTGGTGTCTCATTAGACATTTTGAAAAACTTTAAAAATAACAAGATCATGATAATTAGGATTAATTTGTTTTACATTAAGAAGAGATACTAAACAGATATTTGATAAAAGTGTCATCAGACCTTAAAATGGATTTTAAAGAGAGATTTACCTCTTTGTCAAATAAAAGATAAATCTGTATGTAAATGAAGATTTCCAACTGATTCCTGTTAGAATTGTAAAATACAACTCTTTACCTTTCAGATTTGGCCTCCCTTAATCCTGAGTCCGAGCCTGAGGGTCATTTTATGGCTTACTTTTTGACAGCAGTTGTGTTATGTGTTGCAGGATATGTTATTTTCCACAACAAACAGAAGGTTTTTTTCTTCAGTTTTAAAATGAACGATCTGAATTTTTGTGACTATATTGGGTTTTTTCTCTTGATTACAATTTCATCTTTGAAAGTTTTTTTATTATATTCACTTCAAGTGTAGGTATGATAAATATTTTAAAAATTCAGTTTTTATCTTACTGAAAAAAACCTTTTAAGAACATGTTTATATACTTGTACCAAATGACACTGCATATATATAGCTGTGATATTTTATTCTTTCTGCAGATTGTTGCATTCATCATTGAAGGCCGAACTGGTCGAAGATCTTCACGTAGACCAAACAAAGATGGCTACAGCAGAGTGAAGACTGATGATGTTATGCCATCACTGGAAAAGTCAACCACATCTAAGAGTTATATTTATTGAGACATGAATAGTGGAGTGCTGAAAAAACCATGTATTTGCAGTGTACAAAATCAAAGGATAAGAGATTGTATATAAAGGGCTGGTTGATTTTCAAGCACATTTCGTATAATTATAGCTTTTTAGATCGACAATCTTCAAGCAAATACATAATTGGGATTTTCTTACAGAAAAAGGTTGGGGTAGTCTGTTTTTGCTTCCATTTTCCCAGCTTGCCTGTGATATACTTGTAGTTAAAAGAATAGGGAGAATTTAATATGCAAATATTATTAATGGATATACTAACCATCTGCTGATTAAAAAAGAATTTTGTCTGCAATTATCAACTTTATACTGAAGATGGAGGTCAAAATAAAATATATAGTGTACCATACAGGGGTAGATTTTGGGGTCATTGTTAGACGTGATTTAATTCTTATAGAAATATGTCTGTAAAAAGGGGTGTCATTGATACATCCAAAAACATTTATAGTGTTTAGTAAAATGTTTCCAGAAAACATAGTAAAAAAACACATTCCATATTAAAACCTATGTATATATGCAATTAGTTCATACTTTCAGTTTTGCAGTAGCATATTCATGCAGCATCACACTGCATGGGACTTTGTAATGTGTGTTTTTATCAGTGTTCCAATATTGTCATGTACATTTACGTGTTATTTTTGAATACTTGAAATATGCATATAAGATTCATTTCAAATTTAGAAGCTCAAGGGGAGAGAGTTTTAAATGCTGAGAGATTTTTCTTTTTTGTAAAAGTAAGCTACTGTTGATAAAAGTGAGGATTCACGCATCAGAAGAAAGTAACTTGCTTTTCTTTGTCCTCGATTATTTTATATAGTTACTTTCAGTTTACTTATTTTTGATACATCATTTGTATAGTCTTCTAAAAGAAGTTTTGTTAAATAATTAATACTGGATGTTCTAAATTTCAAATCTGATAGATATGTGAAACTTTGTTGTCAGACCAATAGTGAACTAGCTATGAACAATCAGAGGATAGTTTTTCAAATGACATAAGTCTACTTCTAAGACTATGCATCGGATAAGGATGCTGTAGTAATCACATTGTACAACTATCTACACCTTTTCTGACATTAACTTGAGCACCTTTTAATCAAAAGGCTTCAAGGCCTAGATGGATGATGGTTGAAAGAAGATAGATATATATATATATATATATATATATATATATATATCTATCTTAGTGGGTCACTTGGGCACAGGTCTAGGTCAGACTATATCTTCCATGACCATTAAACATTTTTTGTGAAAAAATGACTGAATATAAATATCTTTAATCCTAAAGGCTTCACATTTACCACATAGATGGAGGAATTTTTGAGAAGACACCAATAGATAATGTGTCAAAGGTCAAGGTCAGAAATTGTGATTATTGATATGATCATTATGATACAGAAACTTTGACATGTTTTAAATCAAAGAGTTCATATTTGAATAATGTAATTAAGGATTTTTTTTCCAAAATGAAACATCTATATACATGTATCTTTTACATAGATATACAATGGTTAGATGAAGTTATATGGAGTTTGGTGTCTTCAACAAATTAGAGTGCAGATGATAAATATTGACAAACAGATATGCCTATCATATCTTTTAGATGATGCAAGAATTTTGGTATTTTTAGCTCACCTCGACGATGTCGAGATGAGCTTATGCTATACCCCCGGCGTCGGCGTCGGCGTTAGCGTCGGCGTCCCAGGTTAAAGTTTTAGGAGCAAGTCCCATTCCCAAGTAACTATAAGCCCTACCTGGACCAAACTTGCATGGATGATGCATCTAGGGATGGACACTACCAAACTTGCTTCGGATGCTGGATCTGACCTAGATTTTCCAGAGGAGTGACCAGGTTAAAGTTTTAGGAGCAGGTCCATTCCCAAGTAACTATAAGCCCTACCTGGATCAAACTTGCATGGATGATGCATCTAGGGATGGACACTACCACACTTGCTTCGGATGCTGGATCTGACCTAGATTTTCTGGATGAGTGACCAGGTTAAAGTTTTAGGAGCAGGTCCCATTCCCAAGTAACTATAAGCCCTACCTGGATCAAACTTGCATGGATGATGCATCTAGGGATGGACACTACCACACTTGCTTCGGATGCTGGATCTGACCTAGATTTTCCAGATGAGTGACCAGGTTAAAGTTTTAGGAGCAGGTCCCATTCCCAAGTAACTATAAGCCCTATCTGGACCAAACTTGTATGGATGATGCATCTAGGGATGGACACTACCACACTTGCTTCGGATGCTGGATCTGACCTAGATTTTCAGTGAGTGACCAGGTTAAAGTTTTAGGAGCAGGTCCCATTCCCAAGTAACTATAAGCCCTACCTTGTCCAAACTTGCATGGATGATGCATCTAGGGATGGACACTACCACACTTGCTTCGGATGCTGGATCTGACCTAGATTTTCCAGATGAGTGACCAGATTAAAGTTTTAGGAGCAGGTCCATTCCCAAGTAACTATAAGCCCTACCTTGACAAAACTTGCATGGATGATGCATCTAGGGATGGACATGGCCACACTTGCTTCGGATGCTGGATCTGACCTAGATTTTCTGGATGAGTGACCAGGTTAAAGTTTTAGGAGCAGGTCCATTCCTAGGTAACTATAAGCCTACCTGGACCAAACTTGCATGGATGATGCATCTAGGGATGGACACTACCACACTTGCTTCGGATGCTGGATCTGACCTAGATTTTCCAGATGAGTGACCAGGTTTAGATTTAGGAGTAGTCTCGTTCCCAAGTAACTGTAATCCCTACCTGGACCAAACTTTCATGGATGATGCATCTAGGGATGTACACTAACCAACCTGCTTTGAATGCTGGATCTGACCTAGATTTTCCACATGAGTGAATTTTAGCCATATTTTAACCAAATTAGCATGCATGATTTATCTAGGGATGGACACTTCCAGACTTGCCTTGGATTCTGAATCTGATGTACATTTTCCAGATGAGTGACCAGGGTAATTTTTTTGGAGTAGCTATATAATATTATGGCCTGTTATGATTAAACTTGCATAGATGGTGCATCTAAGGATGAAAACTTCCAGACTTGCTTTGGATGTTGGAACTGACCAAAATTTTCTTGATTACTAAACAGGTCAAAAGTTTTTTGAGCAGGTCTATAATTAAATCAAACTTGCATGGATATTGATCTTGGGATGTACCCTAACTAGAAAAAAAATATGATGTGAAATTTGCCTTACATGTAGATAACATTCGTCGAGGTGAGCTTCGTAATCTTTGATTACCTATGTTTTTAATTTCATAACAGAGGTAAAAAAAAAAATTTAGGCCATTAGAAGATCAGGAACAAAACTGTTTATATTAATTTTTAATTTACACAATCTACAAAATCTTGAATATATTTCTGGATCTTTCACTTCATTTTCACTAAAGGAGATATATATATAGATTTTAAGCCACTAGCTCAAAAAATGGTCAAGATTATGGATTTAAGCACACTACCTGGCCCTGGATGACTTTGCTAGTATATTTACTGTGGTTGTAGTTCAGTTGCTTTTTTTGACTGTCATTTCTTTACCTTTATTTTTTTAATCTGATAACCAGATTTGTAAAATAAGCCCAAGGAAGTGTTCTATTTTAAACAGTAGACCTCTGTGACGACCACAATGGCCTTCAATAGGTGAACCAATTTTCATTGCTTTCACTTCAACAAATGCAGGAATAATCAGAGTACTTACCGTGTCAATTATTCTGCCATTTACATGAAGAAGCTATCCTGCTCATCAAAATTAATGACTGATTCCATCTATAAATATTACAATTATTGTCTGATTTTATACCGCGTTGACTTGGCAAAAGTAAGAGGTGATAGCTTTAAGGTCATGAGGAGTGTAAGCAGGCTTCTGATTGGCTGTTCAGGTTCATATCCTCACTTCATTTTTTTCCCAGTCTCCCTTATTGGGAACACAGCTTACTTTTCGGTCTAATCATGGTCGGTAGAAAGATTGAGCTTTTTGTCTTAAGTATTGATTATATGAGATTACACTCTCTATATAGCTTATATGATTCTTACTTTTGTCTCAGTGTACATTGCACATAGGTATGTGTGATTTTAATATGTTATGAAGTTGTTAGAGTTGCCCCCTGTTTCTGTTCTCTTATAGTTTCGTCACAAATTTTGATAATACAAATGAGTAGTTTATAACCTTTGTTCATTTTATATTAATGCTTGACGCTATATAATGTTTATGTTTGTAATATGTAATGTTACTTTGTAATATTTATTTTTTTTATTGTGTGGAGACCTATGAAATAGGCTATTTTTTTGTTTTTCATAAGTAAGCTGGTGTAAAATCAGAATTTCATTACTGATAAGTGACATCCTAAAAACACGTCTGACACACCCATAAATTGACTTATTTTGCAAATAATGTATTAAAATGGTAAATAAAAAATCAAACTACGGAACAGAGAACATCTCCAGGGTTTGTTTTATTTCTTTTGCACATGCTACAATATATGGCTATTGGTACTTTGCGGAACGAAACGGAACGGAACGGAACCAGTTGTGGGGTACCTTGTGGGGGATTAGAAATGAAAATAAAATGCTACTTTATTATGGTACATTATGTTTTTTAATAGCTAAACATAAATTTCTCCACAGTATCAATTAAAGAATTGTAAAATAAAATGCCTGTAGGAGCTAGTTTATAATTATTTTGTCGTGTTGGTTTTTCAGAGGCTGCGTCATCTGTAGTTACTAAGTAAACTGTATTGAATGATTGATATGCATTTATTATTGATTTATTATTTATGTTTAAAAAAAAGAAAAATAAAACTATCCAAATTTTCCGTCAAGAACTTGGATACATCATTTATCTATTTTATTTTTTACCAACACGTCAGTATAGAAAATAGAGTTGTCCCGCTTTGCCAGCATTAACGAAATTCTCTGGTTCCGTTCCGTTCCGCTAAATACCAGTATCTGTGTGGATATTAGTATTTAGCGAAACAGAACGAAACGCAGTGAAGTTGAAATGTCAATATGATACATATGCAAGCACCCTGTTGTTATTCAAAGGAAATTCCTCATTAAAAGAAAATACATGTATATAACAAAGACACGAAAGATTAGAAACCATCTTTGAAGAGGAAAAAATCAGGTCAAGCAAGAATGTTTATTAGATTTTTGACTTTTCATAAAGCTTGAATATTTGTCATTATAATAATGTATTTACGGCACTGGTCTTTATGTTGATAAGAAAACTCAGAGATTATAAGATATTATATGTCTCTGGAAAACTCAAATACGTTCCGTTCCGTTCCGCTAAATACCAGTACCTGTGTGGATATTAGTATTTAGCGGAACGAAACGAAACACAATGATATGAAATATATGAAGAAATAAGTTGTTACATGAATGTCATATTTTTCATTAAAAACTAAAATATACTATGAGGTAAACTAATTTGCGTAATACAGTCATTTGGAATATTCCGAATTAACCAGGATTGTTGTGTTATATAATGTTTGTGACAGCAATAATTTTGCATACAATTAATATTGTTCCGTTCCGTTCCGCAAATTACCAATACCCACACGGGTATTGGTATTTTGCGGAACGAAATGAAACGAAACCATAGGTTTCCTATTGAAGAGAAAGATAAAATTAAATTTAAAAAAAGTACGACAACAGACACAATTTTTTCAATGTGTGGTTTGATATTGTTTGATTGTGAAAAAAGTGTGATAAATATGGATTTAGATGATGTTAAATAAATATCTTTTCCTCAATTGCTCAGCATTTTTATATACCATATTTGGTATTATGTAAATGTTATTATATGCATAATATATTGGATGAATGAAGTACTTAGCGTTACAACAACCTTTAGGACAGTAAAATGTTCAGCATATACATTATTTTGTCGTGTGGGTTTTTCATCTGGTGTGACATCTGTCGTTGCTATGTAAACTGTATTGAGTGATTGATATGTATTAATTATTGATGTAAAATGACTTGATCCAAATGCTTGGGTACAGTGCTAAAGAAATATCGTTTTGTTTATAAACACGTCCAAAGTAAAGAGAGTTATCTCGCTTTGCCAACATTGACCATTCTTTGGTTCCGTTCCGTTCCGCTAAATACCAGTATCCATGTGGATATTATTATTTAGCGAAACGGAACGGAACCAAGTTACCCTTGAATCATATTTATAAATGTACGAGTATTTTATGAGTTTCAGTCTGCTATTCTTTAAATTATCGGTAAATCTTATTTTATTTTTAGATGACTTAATATCTAATAACATGGTAATCTGAGAAAAAGCTCCTGCATTCAAATAATTAAAAGTGACATCGTTAATAATGTGCAAAAGTATCCCAAATGTCAACACTGTAAGTATATAGAAATGTTTTTGATTGTTTGAAATGATTTTAATTCAAAGACACTTGAATAAAATTTCTTGGTAAAAGGTAGAATTACAAGCTTTGAATGACTTTCTAATTAACAACAAATCTCTAATCTTAAATCCTCTATCAGCCATAATTTCATGACCTGGTCGTACATAATTTAAAAAAAAAACACAATTCTTAATAATACCCTGTCAGATTCCCTCAAGACATCAAGATCAATATATTTTCAACCTTCCTGCATGTACACACTCTAAAAGAGATAATAGCAACTTTCCTTTGCGACAATCTGGGAAAAAAATCCGGGAAAATTTTTTTCTTGTCTCTTTAGTATTGATTATCTAAATTGAATAGACGGAATTCCACTTTTCATAATTAAAAAGAATTAGATTAATTGTCTAACAACAGCTAGAGTGCTTGCATATACATCATTAGATTTCAACTTCGCTGTGTTTCGTTTCGTTCTGCTAAATACTAACATCCACACGGATTTGGGTATTTTGCGGAACGGAACGGAACCAGATATATAATGTCCATTATAAAGAGTGTAAATCTGAACCTCATGAATGTATCAATAAATGTTGAATTAGCTAACAGTTCTGTCGGCCCATAACACATTACACATATAACGTTACACAATACTATTGAAACTAGTCTATAAATGTTTCAATTGATTGAGAAATGGTATTTGAGTTTTATTATCAGCATCAAGGACCGCAATATATAAATATATAATAATAAATTATAAAATGATAATGATGTGCGTACATGTGCGATTTTATAGGCTTTCTGAAAAGTCAAAAATCTAATTAAAAATCAGGCATATTGATTCTAACTGTCCTTGTCTTTTTCATATTGCTTTTCAAAATTTAAAATACAGGGTTTAATTTTTTTTTATAATTTAATTAAAAAAATAACAGAGTGCTTGCGTGCGTAACATTACAAGTATTCAATTTCGCTGTGTTTTGTTCCGTTCCGCTAAATACTAATATCCACACGGATATTGGTATTTAGCGGAACGGAACGGAACCAGAGAATCATGTCAATCTGCGGTATAATTCGACGACTCTCTTTACTATACAGACTTGTCAGTAAACAAAATAAACGATGTACCGAAGTTCTTGACGGTAAATTTGGATAGGAATGCATCATTAATAGATGAATATCAATCATTCAATACTGTTTACATAGTAACTAGAGATGTCAGCAAAAATTAATGCTTTAACTAGCTTACAGGCATTTTATTTTACAGCTCGCTACTTGACACTGTGGAGTAATCTATGTTAATTAAATAACATTATTTATTTTTTTTAGTTTTACATTCATTTTTATTTCCCCCTCAAGGTACCACACAACTGGTTTCGTTCCGTTCCGTTTCGTTCCGCAAAGTACCAATAGCCCAATATATTGATTCTGTTGAGAATTCTTTCCAATAGTAATTTATTTTTATGATACGTTTAGTCTTCTGCAAATCGTTAATAGTTCACAGTACTTTTTTTTCCTCAAGACTGATACTGTAGTTATAGACAAGATTTTCAATGTATCATTTATATACTAGCGATAATGAGTTTCCATCTATGTTTGACGACACCTTTAATTTAATTTCTAGAAAAGTTTGATTTACAGTAGTATGAGGGTATAGTATACTTTTTGTATGTGGGTGGTTTCATTGTACCCATTAACAACAATTACATAGCATGATTTGATTTAATTATTTTTCTGTTCAGTTTTTGATATCAGCGTGTTGCTTAAATAAGAAATATTGATTTTTTCATATCAATAAAATGGTATGTATCTAAATAGTGTTGCATATTTTAATTGATATAAAGACATAATCGTAGATCCCATTCATCAATGATGCAAATATCCCAAATGGTCCATTTGTGTGTATTTCGATAGAGATTAATTGTTGGTACACATTTGTATTTCGTTTTTCTTCATAGCCAAAGATGCAATGTCTCTGATAAATATACGCAATTAATTAATTAATTATATTTTAAGAGAAAATGGAATAAATATATTAATTAAAATGGAAGCTAAGTGACGCAGTCAAATCCCATTTGATTTCAAATCAAGGTTGAATAGATCACCACTTGCAGACGTTTTTTTTTTTATCCTTCATGGCTGCCAATATAATTGCCGATTTGGTCAATGAATTGCCCGTGACTGAATATGTCTTTTACTGACATTGTTTTAAAATTTGGAAAAAGTACGTGCACTCTGAGTAAAACACTAGCTGCAGATCTGTAGCTCGCAGGTTTGAAAAAATTGGGATGGACGACCAGAGAGCTACAGTGCCATCTACTGAAAAAAGGAGTATATTGTATATATACAAATATATATATAAAAGGAGTATATATGTTTCTCGATTTATTTCTCTTATTTACTAAAGGGGGGGGGGGGGGCGGCTAACGTCTTTTTAAAACATTTTTGTTTTAAGTTGAACCATATTGTAAAATTTCGGACAAAATAACATTGATAAAGTCACAAGACTCATGAACTCCACATATAACTTTTGACCTGGAAATGCCTCTGTCAAAAACTCAAAAACGGCCCTTATCTGTCATATATAAATTATTTATTTGAACAAATGAACAACAATATACAATACGATGAAAGATATAAACTTGTCGCAATTTCTTTGGCACATGAAAAATTATATAAGTGAACACATCCTCGTGTTATATTGTATATACACACAGCCATGAATATAATACGATTTTTTCTTGATTCATGTTTATGCTTACAAGTCACCGTAACTTCTCGCATTTTATTATAATATAGATAAAATAGTCAAAGAGTTGTAACGTCTGGCTTTTAAACGAACAAAATACATGTCTCAATCGCAAGTTGTAGATTAAATTTCTTGTGGAGTTGGAGGTGGTTCAGGCTCATTGTGTATTAATGTTAGTATATAAAAGTACTTCATGCATTAAGTAACCAAATTTTCCAAACTGAAGTGGTACAACAATTTTCTGAAAAATTTGCCCATGTACATTGATTTAGGGAAAATTTAGTGAGACAAAATATGTGTATCACAACAAGGGCTAGCATGAAGTAATGTTTCTCAGTTCTTCTTTGGCAGGATGTAATACAATTTGATTTATATTGTTTTACAAACTTAGTATCTGACGAGGTACCAATATTTAAAGTTTCTTGAGTATAACGGAGATTCTTGGTCAAATATGGTATACATGTATGCTGGTGGCTACGAGAGTGGATTTTCGGCATCATGTTTGCCCAAACACCGGATTAATCCATACACTGGAAGAATAGAAAGCTGAACTAGTCCTTAAGTATCACTCCCGTCTTCCATAGTACGATGACGATGATAGTTATCAATATAACCAAAACAATAAAAGTAAGTAGTCCACCTAAAATTAGACTTCTTCGGTGCGCACGCAGCCACATTTTCCTGTGAGCTTTCTTTGTCATGACCGAAAACTGAATTGCCTGAAATGATAATGTCTTGATGAAATTATGATTCCCTATAATTCGATTGATTTAATTTAATACAGAGAAGGAATAAAAAGGTACATGAAAAAATTCTTTTAAAACAGAAAATTCCATGAAATATCGATCCAGTCTCCTAAAATGTGCTCGTTTTACAGTGAGGTCACATTAAATTGCAAGCGATTGGGGTGCATAGAAACCCCCACCTCACCCTACCCCAGAATATACATCCATAGCACACATTTACAATGTATTCCATACGGTAAATCCAAAAATAAATAAATAAAAATAACGTAGAATAAAAGTTTTAAGAAAAAGGATATCGCCATGGTATATGATAAAATAATAAAACATTTATTCTACGTTATTTTTTGGATTTTCCATATGGAATACATTGTAAATGCGTGCTAGAAGAATAATTTATGAAATAAGACAAATAAAAATATGCTTCGAACCGGGGTCTATATTGCCGGGGGGGGGGGTCCCTGCCAACAAGCTCCTGTGGCATACAATACATCAACTAATAGTAGCATTTCCGCAAGTTGCAAAGTAAATGTCATTGTAATTTTCAGAAAAACACCCCACCCCTCCCCGGCCTTTGAAGATCCTCCTATTTCAGTATGCCATATTTCTCAATTACCCCAGCTTCTAGCCGCTCTCCCTGTTCCACCAAGTGCTCAAGTTTTCCCTCCCTATCTCGGATCTTCACAATATTGTCCTTCATCGCCAGAGCCACACCCTCTACCTCTTGATGAAGTTCCTCTACAGTCTTCAGTGGAACTTTTTCCTGATTAAAATAAACCCATAAAAATGTGAACTGATAAATGCACATGCAACAGATTCCCTGATGTGAACAAACTTGAATTTACAGTAACTCGGATGCATGAATTTGAATTTAACCCTTTGCTGCTCTGTTGTTCTTGAGCAAATGCAGAAGTTTTAAAACTTTACTTCTCAATTATAGTGTTTCCCTATCTCCGATGATCATAATTTAGCATAACAATTCCTGAACAATTTCTACATGGGAATTACTAATATTTTCTCCATATTATTCTTTTCTAAGATTTTGTCACATGCTGTGGTTAGACCCTAGCTTGAAAACAGAGTGAGTGTATTCTATAAATAAGGACCTACATGTTTTCTAATTGTGACTCTGTTGTCCCTGACAAGATAAATATATTTTAAACATGTATTCGTATACGAATCAAGGTGTTGGGGTGAGTGGAAACCTGGAGCTCAACCTAACAAAAATTCTTGACCAGCCGCCAAAAATGTAAATAAAAGAAAAAAGTCATCACCTTATTTTTAAGGGGGCACATCCGCTAATTAACTTTTTTTCTGTTAGTTAACTATTTTTTTTTTAAAAAGAATATTACTCGCCATTCTTCCTTGAAATGTCCCCCGCTTTAAATAAAAGAGGGGTTACTTATTTGGATCTATATGTCCGTCCGTCTGTTCGTCATTTTTTCGGCCTGTAACACTTTCGTTTCCGAATGTTTAAAAAAAAAACTCCTTAAGATTTGCTGTGGAATTTTATATCTTAACACCATATGACATATAGAAGACCTTTATTGATTTTGAGATCAAAAGTCAATCTCAGAAATTCATATATTGCATAAAATTGTTTTCATATGATAATTTAAGTTCTCTTTGAGTTTTTGCAAGCAATATAACTTTTAATTTCAGAACTTCCTATGACTAAAAAATATTCATATCGATTTTCTAAGATAACTCTCTTTAAGACCCTTATGGATGCTGAGGCGAAAAAGCGAAAGGTTTAATCCTTCTTTTCTTTAATTTTCAATCTTTAAGGTCTTCCATTCACTTATTATTTTTAAGCAGGGGACATTATAATTCCCTGAACTAACCTGCTTATCAATAATTTCCGCCAAGCAAAGCAAACATGTGCATTATTTCACCACTGGCGCCGCTAAAGATTGGCCAAGTCAAAAGTAGCACCACCCCATAATAATTCAGTATTTCATTCGCAAGAAATAGCAGACATGCAGCTATGGAAATAGAATGAACACAATAAAACCCGTGGTTTGCGAACATGAAATGCATGCAACTTCTGCAAATCTGATAAAAATAAAAATTTAATGCACTTCATTTATGTCTTTGAAACTGACTATGGAAAATAACGATATAATTAAATTACAACATCTCTTTTACAGCAAACAGTATATTATGACATCTATTGATAAGTTCCACCACCTACTAGTGGTTAAAAAGAACTTGACGGTTTATACAAACCTGTATTTCGCGTGTAGTTTCAGGTTTGTCTTTTTTCTTTTTGAAATGTTTGAATACATGTATCCTCTTCGACTTAGATTTAGCCTACAATTATACATACAATAAAAGGTCTATGAACAAGTGCAAGTACACCAGTCACCCCTCATTGAAAATGAAATCGAATCAAACGACACAAAATTTAAATTCCCTACCGTGGCCTTAAATAAAAGATAATGGCTATTTTGTTTTTCAAGAAATGTAGAACGTTAGAAAATTTGTGTTTTGAGTTTTGTTATTTCTGGCCTTGCTGCTCTTGAGTCGTATAAGAAGTTGAGTTGCAGGCCTACACTAGTTTAAAGCTCTATGGACTGCAATATTTCAATATTTTTACCCATGGATATACTGGTATATGGTCTGAGAACGTTTACTGCAAGTTCAAATGACAAAAAATTTCTTTCAGCTTATACTATCCTTGTGTCTAAATTGTAATTAAAGACATTAATTTACATTTCGAGAACGATCACGTGGCTATCGAAAGCAACATGAGTTTGTTTACAACATAAAATTTCACAATTATAAATTAAAAATTTTCTTCTATATGCTACTTCATTTGAATTTATTTATTTATTTACTTTTTTTACTCATTTATATATTTATTTATATTGTATATATACTATGTAAGATCCCTGACCATTTTCAGTCAAACCTTATTATCTCGAACTCGAAGGGACCGAGAAAAAAAAAACTTCGAGATATCCGAGGGTTCGAGATATTGAAAGTAAAATACTTCAAGAAAAAGTGCTTGGGACTTCCAAATCACTTCGATATAGCCATGGTAATCGAGATATCCGTGTTCGAGATACTGAAGTTCAACTTTTGTTAAAGGGGCAATTTCTCCTTATTTGTAGACATACAAAGAAAAGTTGTGATGTAATTCAAACATTTTAAAGGTTACACTTTCATATTAAGGCACCAACAGGCTGCCGTAAACTACAGTTTGTAGCTCTACGTATTGTACTTTGAACATGCCATGATTTTGCCCCGTCCTTTCTTGCTTTTATAACTGTAAATGCAATAAAATGAAATAAGAGTTAAACAAGGAGCTTACCATATCTCTTTATCCAATTCTAATATTGGTCCAGATTCATATAATGCTAAGCAGAGAGGATTGATTGTTACCGCAATGCAGACAGAACACAAGACGGGTTTTCCTGAAAGTCTAAAAATAGAGCATGGCATGTTATTTAGAATACTACTCACACACATGCTGGTTGTATATTGAAAGTTTCGGAAATAACAGCACACCAAAAGTGAAACATCAACAAGTTTCAAGTGTATCGTTTATCAACTGTGCCTTTTCAATTTGAAATACCTATAAGAAATAATCTTTAAGAATTCCTAGAATTTTTTTATTTTACAATTTGTTTCTTGTACTGTAAGTTTGACTTAATAATCACTTCACCCTAGATGGAAAGAATAGTTATTTCTTTTACTGTAAAATTGCAATCGTGATTTGAAACGTTATGTCTACAATATTCATAAATCAAACTTTTTACTTTAATTTCAGTGAAATAATACACATGTTAGTATTCTTAAATATGCTTACACTACGATTCTGTTTTACGCAATGTCCAAAATGAATGCAAGTTCTTCTCCAATGGCATTTAATCATCCTGAAAGTTCACAAACTCCATCATTTTATAGAATGTGTATTGTACACATCAATTCTATTAATAAACGTACTCGACATAGGGAAATATATCCTGATTTGCCATAATTAAATCAATAGATTTACAGCTTTCCTACAGGCGCTGAATTTTCACGTATATGTATTAATTCTTTAAGTAAGTAAGTATTAATTCTTTGTGTCACCTTATTTCAGGGAATTGATATGCGTCAACTTTGTTCTCAGTGCATCAGCTAAGCATTATGCAACAAGTTTCATGTTGACATTCTATGTCATCATTGCAAATATATATATATATATATATATATATATATATATATATATATATATATATATATATATATATATATATATATCCACTGCATCTGCCTCGTTGCAAATTATCTTGCAAAATATATCTACAATGTATATTTTTACAAGACAAAATAACACCGTGACATTTCTCTATAGTGCTTATCTTACTGGCTTACCTCATGTATAAATCAGATGATATCCGCCCTTTTAAATGTAAATGAAAAGGAATCATGTCGTTCCTGGGGTCCGTTTTACAAATGCACTTACGACTAAGACCAAAAACTTGAGGGGATTGTAAATTCATGAAAATTTACTGAAAATCTATCGGAAGTAGATAATATGATTACTTCACTAACTGATGCAGTACTTAGAGAAGCATATAATTAAAGAATACACTTGGCGCTCCCTTTACACGATGATTTTTTAAAAAATCAAATACAGTGTATCAGTGCATGTGCACTGTATTTGGAAAACTGAAATGTACAAAGAGTATTAGCTTGATAAAAATGAAAATTGCGAGATGAAATAATCTATGATTATTTTTGTCACAGATGTAGGAGACTAGAATGACTCTGGATTATGTTGATATTGAACACCAACTCTTCGATGTTTAAAAAATACTATATATGAGTAAATATATAGAAATCTTGAAGACATGTTTATATATAGGAATGTGTATCACAATATAACAGAGTTGAGGTGACAAATGAGAAGTTTCTGCCTTACAAGAATGAGTGATACACACACAGATACTGAGTGGTAATGGGACGTTCATTGTTATTGACCTATCCAATCACAATAGACAAAACGTTGTACACTATTTATCAGCATGCATGGACTTCGAAATTTCATGTTTTAGATGTTAACAATCTATGTCATATCACTGAGAGATAACTATACATTTAGAATATAATGCCTCTTTGGAGCAGGTCCATTCCCAAGCAACTAAAAACTCTCTTTTGACCAAATTTGCATGGATAATGCATTTAAGAATGCACACAATTAGACTGGCTATAGATGCTGAAGTGCCATGCGTTTTTCAGATGCTTGACCAATTTAAAGCTTTCGGACCAAGTCCATTCCCAAGTAACAGTAAGCACTGCATTGATCAATTATTCAATTAGGGATGAATTGATTTAGATGCTATCCCTTGCACAAGAATATGACCAAGATGATTGTTAAAGTTTTCGGAGCAAGTCTCTAGTCCTACCCAGACCTAACTTGTATGGATGTTGCATCTAGAGGGTACACACTACCACAATATTCTCTTGGTGAGATTTAGTGTGAATTATAAATAACATTCGTCGAGCCGAGCTTCCTTATCTTTAATGACCTACAGTACCTGGCCATAAGTGAGTCAAAATTTTATTTTTCCACTATATATTTCATTGAAAAAATGCATTTTTCTAAAATATTATTGCAGTTATTTGTTATTTGTTGCTCATTTTTTGTTATGACTAAAAACCTTAAAATGAAGAATTTTATGGGGGTTTCTTCAAAAAATTTCAAAATAATTTTATCTTTAGGCATTGCGATGATATCACATGTCAAATGCAATATAAAAATTTTAAGACGAGAGCAATTTGATCAAATATAAGAAATCATAATAATTTGAGGCTAGAAGTTTTTGTCTTGGTGATTTCATATAAATGTATTATTCTCAGTGATTAGTGTATCATTTTGTTTAGGATTTTAAGACAAGAAAATTTGAACATTTCTTCATGATTCATGAACAATCATGAAAATTGGGCTAAAAATGACCTCACAAGAAGATTTTATTTAAAAAAAATGTTTTTTTTTCAATGAAATATTTAGTGTAAAAATGCTATCATGACTCACTAGTCGCCATATACTGTAGAGTTTTTTTTTGTTTCATGTACAGTGTATTACTACGAAAGCCTATTAGGTTCAATCTATCGAGAAAAAAAAAAATTAAAAGGCGTTATAACGCCTTTCGAAAAGGCGTAATAATGCGAAAAAAGGCGTAATAACGCGAAAAAAGGCGTAATTATGCCTTTCAAAAAGGCGTTATTACGCCTTTCTAGAAGGCGTCATTACGCCTTTCTGAAAGGCGTTATTACGCCTTTCCAAAAAGGCGTTATTACGCCTTTATAAAAGGCGTTATTACGCCTTTCCAAAAGGCGTTATTACGCCTTTCTCAAAGGCGTTATTACGCCTTTCAAAAAGGCGTTATTACGCCTTTTCAAAAGGCGTTATTATGCCTTTCCAAAAGGCGTAATTACGCCTTTTATTTTCAATACATGACTAACTTAGCCCACTCCGGGGACTGAAATCTTACCCTCGGGACATGAATTTCACAATTAAATATAGGGCTAATTTCTTCAAAAATAATTTAAACATATTATAATTAGATTTCCAGGAAAAAAGATTTTCAAATGTGTAATATATTTTCAATGTTAAACCAACTTAATCCTTCTCTGATTCCAGACACCTCTACCATGGATTTCACAAATTTGGTTGAAGGCTAATTGCATTGGCGGATCCAGAGGGGGGTTCCGGGGGTTGGAACCCCCCTTTATTTTTGCAGAGAGAGAGAAAGAGAGAGAGATTTCTGTAATATAGATAATTTAACGTCTAATATTTTGAATAAAATAAGTATAGTTCAATCTCTGCCCTTTCTGCTCGCTAGATAAAATGTCCCGTATATTCCATCCTCCACGTACTTCCAGAACCTTGGCCCCGGGCCCCGACCACCCACAAGTAACATGCAAGATTTCACTTTGATATCATTGGAAGATTCCAGGGAACTTCAGCTATGCCATTTTTGGACCATCTTCTGAAGTAACTAACTTTAAAAAGTATGAATAAAAAGTCATGAAAGGGAGCATATATAAGAGACTATTATGGTGATACTTTAATCTATGAAGAGAAAGGTGTAAAATGCCCCAGTAGTATGCGGGGGGGGGGGGGGGAGTGGGTTCACTTTTTCTGAGAATAATCTTTTGCTGTAGTTTTAATATGCAGGTTTTGATTGGGATCCTCCCCCATTTTGTTGCTGGAAGTTCAAAATACGCAATTCAAGCATATGAAACCAAAAAAGTGCGGAAAAGTCAGATGACCCCCCCCCCCCCCTACCCCGAAATAGGATGTATGAATGTGGCGCACAGTTGTTGTTTTTTTTTTTTTGGTTTTTTTTTTTTGGGGGGGGGGGTTTAGCTTGTCAACTCTGTTCGGAGGTTGGCCCTTTTGATAAACCATTGCTACGGACTTGAAGTGTCTGTGGCGTAATTCTACGCATGAATGTTGGGGGCACCGACCTGGAACCCCTCCTTTCAAAAATTGCTGGATCCGCCCCTGAATTGTATATTATACCCATTCAAATAGTTTGCCTGCTTTTATCCAAGAGGAGAGAAAAATATTTTCAAAATTGACATGAATTTTTAATACATGACAAGCAAAGCCCCTAGCTGCATCTGCCTGTATCCTGGATTTCCACAAGTAGAGTGTTGACTTCTATTTATACGCATGCAGACAGTTGTTTGCGAGATGTGCAAGAATATAGAAAATACTTTTAAATATTGCATAAATAAAGATGGCTTTGATTCAATCTTTCAAGTATTTATTAATATAAAATAACGCATTTCCATTTTTGGATTTTGGATACAACGCCTTTTCAAACAGGCCGGTAGTACGTATGCAAGTGGGTGGGGGCTCCTCCACCCCACTTTTTGGGAGAATAGTCTTGCTATAGTTTAAATATAAAAATTCATTTATTGGCTGCTTGGTCCCTGAACATTTTGTTGCAGTATCGTCAAACTCTGGCAAATCATTATTTAAGGTTACATATCAAAATTAAGTTGAAGATAACAGTTATACTACAAATGATGAAAAGTTATAAAAAGATCCCCCTCAAGTATAGGCATTTTAGTAGTTTTTTTTGGGGGGAGGGGTTTTTTTCTTGTTTTTTGTTTGCTTGTCATTTTTTGGGAGGTTGCCCCCCCCCCCTTCATAAGCACTGGCCTGTCAATGACATAATAATGGCTCTTCAATAGTCATAATAACACCTTTTGGAAAGGCGTAATAACGCCTTTTAGAAAGGCGTAATAACGCCTTTTGAAAAGGCGTAGTAACGCCTTTTAGAAAGGCGTAATAACGCCTTTTGGAAAGGCGTAATAACGCCTTTTAGAAAGGCGTAATAACGCCTTTTGAAAAGGCGTAATAACGCCTTTTGGAAAGGCGTAATAATGCCTTTTA